GCCTAGTTTTCCACTTGGTACTTTCTATCCTTTTGGTTCAGGTTTGAGGAATCTCATTGCCTGACTTTGGAAGTGTTTGCCAGACCCTGGGACTGTACAGGAAGGCCATCTTAATGGGGCTGTGGAACAGAGATCTTATTTTTCTACTAAATTCAGCTACTCTGGGTAACTATGATTCAGCGTATATTCAGACTAGGTCCGTCCTGGGAATGTTTACAATTTTCTAGAAAATGTCAATTTCATATAAATGTAAAATTGTTTGAGATGTTCACAGAATTCTGTGATAAATTTATAAAACCACCATTGTATCCACAGTCACCTTTCCTCATATTTTGACATTTTACTTTTTTTTTTAAGTGCTGGGGTTCAAACCCAGGGCAAGCATTAGCATTTTGCCTCTGAGTGATAACCACTGCCTGCTTTTGCTAACTAAATTAGATTTCTTTTGTTGTTTGCTGTTATTGTTGTGTTGAGGCAAGGTCCAGCTACTGGCCCAGGCTGGCTTGGAACTTGCCATCCTCAGCTTCTGGGAGTTCTGCAATACAGGGATGCATCACCATGCCTGGCCTAAAGTTGAGCTTTTTGCTTGTAGATTCCCACATTTTCTTTTTTTCTAATGAATGTATTTACAGCTAATGTTTCGTCTAATGACTGCTTTAGTTATGCCCCAGTCTTTAAATGTGATGTTCTCAGAGTTACATGTTCATAGATATTTATAATTTCCATTGCGATTCTTTTCTTTGACCTGAATTATTCCATATGTTTTCAAATTCTGTAATATACAGAAGCTTTCATCCATGATACACGAGAGATTCTGACGGTTAGAAAGTGCCCAGGGTTTACACTTTGGGACTATGCCACCTGACCCAGCCACAGGCCCAGGGCTCATGGCAACACAGAAGGAGTGAGAAGAAAAGAGACACCCTAATGAGGACAGTGACACCAGCATCTGCCTGGGACATTTAGGGAACAGTGGAGCCCACCACAGCCCGGGGAGGAAACCCTATAACAAAAGGCAAGCTCAGGAGATAGAGGCACACAGACTTACTTCACATCAGCTTCGTGTGGAGCAGGAGCTGACAGAAATAAGCTCACAGAAGCAGGGAGACCTGCTGAGCTGCCTGTTCAGACAGCTGTGCTAGAAATTGACTGGAGAACCAAGGGTTGTTTGTATCTAACAGCAACAGAAAGTCAGCAAGACCAGCTGGATCCAGTTCCTCCCAGAGTTTCCAAGGCTTTCCATTCACCTCACACAGGAGAAATAAAGGTGCTACGGCCTATTTTAGAGGTCAGAGATCCTCTCGTGACCTCTTCAAGGAAGTAGAGAGGGGGACAGCTGCCTGCTGTTTTCTCAAGATGCGGTATTAGGGGTAACGTCCTGGATCCCACCAAAGCCAAGAGCCTTGATATAAAGGAGAAAAGCAAGCATAAGCCACGGAGCTGCAGCTCTCAGGGGAAGCACAGGGCAGGAGCCGCAGAAACCGTGGTCAGCGTATCCCACCCTGAAGGCATCAACTACAGTTCTTTTGTGGTCAGAACATGATGTAGCATTTCACAGTCCTGGAAATCATGTAGCCTGCCTTCCCTACCACAGCCCACACTACGAGGGTAGAATGTTATAGGTGTACTGACCCTGTCACTTCTGCCCATCAGCCAATTCCCCTCTGAACTGTCAGGATACACAGGGCACCTCCATGCCACCCTCCCCAGGAGCCTTCCTTGCCAAGGCTTCTGCAAATGTACTCTTGAATCCACATGCTAATCATGGGGGACCCTGCTAGTCCCCTAGCATTTATTCAGGAGCTAGAGGAGGACCAACAGCCCCTTGTCAGGAAAATTCCAGCTCCTTCCTAGAGCTCCTCCGTCTGAGCTGTACTCAGGTTCATAATGGTTACTATGGAGTGGAATAGTGATCACATGGTCAGATGCAGCTGTGCAGAGCTGCTGAGTCCACGAGCAGAAGTGGGAAGTGGGATTCACTACAGTGTTCTAGAAACCAAGTCTGTTCCAAGGTGACTTTCCTAGAGAACAACAGAAGATTTTGTATCTAAAAGAAAAAGATACTATGCTGCAGCTCACCACACCTCTGCTGCAGGGTGGAGATGATGCCTGCTGTGCTGGGGAGTGCCGACTTGAAGCATCTCAGACACCAGAAGAAGGGGAACACCATCTTGGGATCCCTGCTACCTACTCCCAAAGACCCAGCTGTACAGTTGGACAGGAGGGACTCCTCACATTCCCAAGGGCCTTTGACATAGCCTATCACCAGCCCATGTGTATCTGTGCCCTTAGGTCCAGGGCACACCAAGGAGAAACCCCCACAGCTCTGGTCAGAGATCAGAAACAGAGGTTAAATTGGAAAAGCCCTTGATCAAAGCCTTACTGTCAGATGGGGCCCCAGCCCTTACCTCTAAACTCAACTCTCAGCTCTTGTTCCCAGTCAAAAGGAACGTTAAGTGCCTCCACTGGGGGACTGCCTGGCCAGCATTTGGATTCCTTTGTCAATTGTCATCTACCACCCATGAACCCAGTGACAGTTCTTCCCTGAAAGCCCACAGGTGACCAGTATCGCACAGATCTTATTCTGTGGACAAGACCTTGTCCCACTCAATGGGGCATCCAGGAAGCAGAGCCTGAAAGCAGGCCTTTCATTTGGCAGGATGAGAATTCTCAGGAAGATCCCAGAGAAAGAGAGTGGCTGTAAACAGTACCAGGCAGAGAAAGGAGGACCCAGCTATGTCTTAGCAGGAGACCCCCTTCTGTTCCGCTCTCCCAGAAATTTTGAGCACAAACAGCCAGCGACCCAACTCCTTGCCCCCCCCTCCCCGTCAGCTTCCAATTACCACCTGGGGCGGGGTGAGGCGACACCCAGGCTGGACAGCCATAAACCCTGGTGTCTGTGTTCATCCCCACTGCTATGGACAAACACATGACATGCAGTTTTAGGAGAAAAGGTTTGTTCTGGCTTATAGTTCAAGAGTCTTCCCATCGTGGCAGGGAAGAAATGGCAGCAGAGGGAAGGGCCATCAGGAAGGCGTGGGGCAGGAGGCAGTTAGTCGGTCACATGGCATCTGCAATGGAGAGACCGAGAGAGATGAATGCTGGTGTTCAGCTCACCCTCTTCTTCTGACCCGGCCCACGGAATAACGCCACCCACAGTTAAAGAGTCTCCGCATCTCAATTATCCTAGCCTAGGTAGTCTTTCACAGAGGTGCACGCAGAGACTTCTGATGGGCGAGCCTAGGTCCCGCCAAGATGACAATATTAACTATCACAATGATGGCCAACACTCACCAAAGCTATAAAGGAATAAGGGGCACCAAGAACACACACAGAGAGACATTCTTTCACTTGGGGTGAGGACAGTGGGGTTCTGGTGTGTCTGAAGACAGCAACTGAGGCCGGATGTACAGACAAGGGGAGTCTGTTCCAGAAAAGATAGAGACCTTTTGGTCCAGGACTTTTTATTTTCTTAGTCTTTCTCTCTCTGCTGTGTCCTGTATCCCAGCTCATTCCCATAAAGCTGGGCTGAGCAAGCCAGGTGAGGGTGGGCCCTGCTGATATGGCCAGTGCCCAGGATCAGGCAGTGGTAAGAGTCCTGGCAGATGGACCCTGTGAAGGTACTGAATCCTCCCTCTCTTGCCTCTACATCCCACAAGCTTGTCCAGGAGGAAAACCCTATCTCTATCTCCTCTGCCCCACCCAAAGGGAAGAGGGCCAATGAAATGCCTAAGCCAGAAGATCCTCCTCAGAGGGTGGACGTGGAAGGACACATTTCCCCAGTGTGGGTGGCATCTTTTTAAAATGAAGCTTCCAAGCAGAGTCTGGGGTTGGATCCAAGGCTTCACGTAACAAGTTCCCAGGAGACAGTGATGCCCAGAGAGCACAGACATATGGATGCAAACACACAGGAACACACACACACACACACACACACACACACACACACACACACACACGTTGCTCACCCTCTGGGATTTATCCACTATCCACTCAGCTCTGGTTTCTTCCCCTGTGACACTGTGACACCGTGACAGATAGGACTCTGAAGGGTTGTGACCCAGCCATTCATAAGGTCCTCCTCAGGCCATAGCTCAGGCTGGGCCAGGCTACAACTCTGTCTGAAGCTCATAGTGACGAACTACCCTGGGCCAACAGAGGCTGGGCCACAACTGCTGCTTCTGCTATGGGAGGGATGGGGATGGGTAAGAAAAGGGTGGAGCCTGCTGTCACCTTCAGTTTAGGCAACATGAGTGGAACATAACAACCCTGACCACTCCCCCCCCCAACTCTCACCCTAGAATCAGGCTTCACAGGCACTGTCCCGAGTGACTTCCCACTCATGACCCTTCTTGGCTAATGACAGAATCTAGAGTATTCCGCAGTCATGGTTGGGCCTGGACACTAATGAGACTGACGGAGGTCCGCCTGACATCAAGGTTCCATCCAGCACTTGCACTAGAAACATGGTCTGTGACAGGCTCCACCTAGGACAAGGACAGGGGTGTGGATGTGCTCTGAATTTGCATCTGTTCTATCTGACTTATCAGTTCTCGCCGCAGTTTAAGTCAGAGTGCAGGCTCTGTTAGGACGACAATTAGAGGAGCCGTGACTGCCCCGATGGCCAGCCCTAGAGTCCAATCTCCTGACTCGAATCTTCTTGGTGGCCCAGCGCTTGGGAGCCAGTAGGAGTCACCTCAAAGCCTCTGGGCAGGAGTTATTCCACTGTGGACTGAGAGTGATTGGGAGATGCTGGGGTCTGTTACCCAGACCCCAATAGTGACCACTGACTGGACAGGGAGGCCTATACTAAGTGCAGTGGTTGGTGATCTGCTTCCTGTAGTCTTTGGCTACTATTCCACTTTGAACACAAGTCCATGTCACCTTGAAGGAACTCTCCCACAAGTGATGGAGGCTAAGAAACAGGCTGAAAGAGAAGCCACAACCCTCTTCCCAGCTATGTACCCCAAAGACTGCTCCACATACCAACTGTGGTAGAGAACTTTTATTTGAGTCAGCTCCGACAGATGTCAGGAACCTCAGGAACATCCAATGTGAACATCCATTCAAGTGCACTCCTGTGTATCATGGTGCGTGTTGAGGGGCGGGGTGTCCCTTCTGCTTCTACCCTGAGGCTCTCGAGCATCTGTTATTGATCCAAGGAGCCAGCCCACCACTCAACCTAATGCACTGCTAGCTACACGTGTGCTCCACCCTTTCTTCCCTCCCGCTACCACCCCAGCCTCCAACATTAATTTCATCAGCCCGTTGACAAGTGTTTTCCTGAGAGTTAGGAGCCCAGCCCTGTGCTAGACCCACCTGGATCTGAAGAAGAAATGACAGCCCCTTGCCCTCAGGGAGCTCACAGTTTAGTTGGGGGTTCGAGGTGCACATGTGTACAAACAGCACACATACATACGACACAGAAGCAGTGAGCACAAGACTACACATCACAGTACACAAGGGAGACGCCGCGTGTTAACGCGAGTGTGGTACAGAGAGAGCAAAGGCCAGGTGGGCTGGGAGGCTCAGCCCTGGCGAATAAGGGGGGGAAGTCTGGCGGGGGGGGGGATGAAGGTTTCAGAGCAGAACGGGGAAGGCATGACAGAGTTACAGCAGGGAAGAGACAAGCTGGGCAATTAGCTGAGGGGCATGGCGAGGTCTCCTCTAGATTAGCCAAGGAAAAGAGGTGCGTGGAAGCTCCTGGGGTGTGGAGACTGCCTCCCCTGCACTCAGTGACCCCAGAATAAGGCATAGGGATTCATTAAGAATGTGCATGGGAGATGCAGGCAGTAAGACCCCAGGTTAGAAATCCACAGGTTTCTAGCAAGTCCTAGTACAGGAAAGGGAGACCCTCCTTTCCTAATGAGTGGTTCATTCTGGGGAAGAGAAACATCTGTGCCCCGACCCAGTTGACTTGCTCACTTGCGAAGACAGGAGTCCTTGACCAACAGTGACCCAAGACCCACACCCCCTACCTGTACCCCTGCTTACTTATGGGACATACACAACTCCTCCACAAGTTTCTCCCTCTGCCTATACCCAGGGCTTCTGGTGCTTTCTCCCCTCACATTCCCAGGTGATGCCTGCCTGGAGCAGACACCTGGCCAGCCAAGAGGCCTGATCGGTTGCATGTGGCTAAAGGAAACAGGATCCCTACTCCTTGGGGCAGACACAGAGCAAATGATTCACCAACCCTTCAGCAGTCCAGCCTTCCCTTGAGACTCCACAGTGAAATCAGAGCCAAGGTCAAGCCGGGCTTTCTAGCCTTACAAGGCTCCATTGTAAAATCTCACAGTGTGTCAGTCACAGAAAGGGAGAAGGCAGACAAGCCCAGGAGCCTTGGGCAATGCTGGGGGAGGGAGATCGGGTTCTAGAAACCAGATGTATTGCTAGATTGGGAGGACGGGATGGACAGACTAAAAGGGGCTCAGCCTCAGAAGTCTTTATTCCCAAACAAGAAGAGACCAGGAGAGACACACCTGTATGGAGTAAGAAAAGGATGGCAGATGAACCGCCCAGGGCTGAGGTCTTCAGTCTGGAGTCACGAGGCTCCTGAGACTCCCTGGCATTGTGAGAGCTACATGAGTATGTAAATTCTCCTAGAAGGGCCACAGCCTCCATCAGAATTTAAAGGGTCACATGTCCCCGAAGTCTTAACCATTCTAGTTCAGAAAGGGCACAGTAGCCTTTGGGTGCGGCTCACATCTTGAGGGAAGTTTTGTCTCTCAAGCCAGGTCTGCCATCAACTTGCTGTGATAACTCAGACCGGTCACTTCTTATCTCTGCCCTTCAACCAAGTGGTGGGCAGGGCTGGAAGAGAGAAAGCCAGCTCTCCACACAGGCGCTATCTCCACACCTGAGTTGAAGTCTAGGGTCAGGAAGCCAAAAGGAGGCTTGACCAGCTGTAAGTTTTCCACCTAGGCCTGGACCCAGCCTCTACTTGCCAGCTTTACCAACACGGGGCACCTCCAGAGGTAAGTCTTCTGAGGAGACACATTCTCATGCCAGGATGCCAGGACACCATGGGACTTCATTTTTGGTCTCCATGCACAGATATGCCCTGCATGTCCTGGGCCATGAGGTCCTGACCATTGTGTCTGTTCATGGAAACAAAGAGATCATGGTCAGTACATTGTAGTAACATGGCCCTGCCTGTGCACCCATCCGGACTATGGGGGCACATTCACATGGCCCACTCTGAATCTATCTGGAACTTCAAGACAATCCTCCTGCCACCACCCACCAAGATACTGCCAAGATTCTTAGCCATTTCACACATGAGATAGCTGAGCCCTGATACTCGAGTAACTGGCAAGCTCCTGACATCTCAGGACCATATTTATTTTCTGTCACCAAATCCTAGTCCACATTGCAATAACCACCAAGGACCTCAAGCTGAGGCCAGGGCTCCAGAGGAGTCACACAGCAATGAGGTAGGACAGAGAGCAAAGGGAGTGGACAGGCCTCCAGCACCATGCCCGGGCTCGGGGGACAGGGTCCCTATCAGAGCCCCCCCCCCACATCCTAACTTCATGCCCCCAGCACCTGACAAACCCGGCAATGCCTCTGCTCACATGCCCAAGTTCTCTCCACTGCATTTTCAATAACTCAGCAACAAAGCTGAAAGATTTTCAGGTCCAAAATCCCCAACGAAGCCCAGACTTGACCTACCGTAGCACTAATTATTAACTGTGATTTGGAACAAGCTTGGGGAAATCTTGGTTTCCTTGTCTGTCAGATGGCAGAAAAGGCCAGAGCCTCAGAGTAACAACCTGGAGACAGGGGTCCTGGAAGCCCCCAGTTGTCATTCTTACCAGGGACCTTGATCAACCATCCTAGCTGAGGCCTCCATCGTCCTTCCCTGGATGAACCTCAAGGCTCTCTGCCTCTCCAGGTGCCTTCCAGGGCTTCTGTTCTCATCCTAAATCACTGGTCTGAGCTCACTGCACTTACTACAAATGTTTGGTGTCTCTTCCTCCGAACACAAAGTCCTTTGTGGAACAAACCCTAACCCTTGCCATCTTGAAGGCCTCCTTCTGCACACAGCAATTCTGTCTCTAGGACCCAGTGCAAGGCCTTCAAACCCCCTTAGGTGAATCCAGTCATTTTCCCGACCCAGGGATGTCCCTACTGGAGCCGGCATGTCTGTGCAGACATACTGACTGACACCCTATCACAGGCACCAGAGTGGGCTTCCAAGTGCCTGGACCTGAGGTCTTTCCAAGAGAGGAGCAGAGCACAGCTCAGAGCTAATTGGTAAAACTCTCTGGACAAGCGACGTCACCCTCTGCTAACAGCTGAACCTCACAACCCCCAGGGAAAAGAAAAAGTCTCTCATCTTCATCCCCAACTTACAGGTAAGCAATTGAGACATGGAGTGAAATGGCTTCTCGAGGCCACCAGGCAGTGGTTACAGGAGGCTGAGGCTTTGGGGACCAAGCTTTGGCCGGGAGACTGTGGAAAGTGGCCCTCTCCGAGTCGTTTTCAAGTCTGAGGTGCTGGGAATGAAAATGAGGTAAGCAAGAAGTTAAGTCATGGAGACCAACACAGGCCTAATGGGCCGCTCCTGACCTGGAGAGCCAACACCGCACACCCACTTCCCAGGCCCACCACTCCCACAACCATGGGACTCAGGTCAACCCTATGGGGCTCACCTGCTCTAGGAGCCTGAGGAGGCAAGCCAGGTGCCCAAAGCAGATTCATGCAGCCAGCCAAAGGGTCCAGGGAGAGGAAGGAAAGGGGATGGCTCAAGCCCTTTCAACACCCCACCTCTCTCCCATAAACCCATCCAGAGAGGGGGCAACTCAGCACCCTTGGTTGTGACTCCTGAATTGGAGGCAGTTGATGGTGGCAGGCCTTTCATAGCACGCGGCCTAAATGGGCCGCCTGGCTCTCAGGCCCATGACCATGGCTGCGCTGGTGGGCCTTGAGCGAGCCCTCACGCGCGAAGCTCTTGCCGCAGCGAGGGCAGAAGTAGGGCCGCCGCTCCCCGAAGACACCTGGACGGCGCGGGTGCGGCGTCGGCATACGCGCGTGGGTGCGCTGGTGGTTGAGCAGAAAGCGCGGCTCACGGAAGCAGCGACCACACTGGGCACACTGGTGCGGCTTTTCGCCGCTGTGGATGCGCTGGTGCGTGAGCAGGTTCTGCTTGAGGCTGAAGCAGCGGCCGCACTCGGGGCAAGGGAAGGGCCTCTCTCCGGTGTGTGTGCGCTGGTGCACCTCCAGGTTGTGTTTGACGCTGAAGGCCTTGCCGCACTCGGGACACACGAAGGCGGCGGTGCGACCGGCCCCCACGTGTGCCTTCTGGTGCCGCACCAGGCTGGGCTGCTGGGAGAAGGTCTGGCCGCACAGTGGGCAGCGGTGGGACTGTTCCTCCGCCGGGTGGTGAATAACCAGACCTTGATCGTCTCCTAAACTCTCCTCCCCGTCCCCCGTAGGAGACCCTCCCCTGGAGGACACCAGCTCTGTCATGGGCGCTTCCAGATACAATCACCAGTCCCTGTAGAAGCAGAAGCAGAGAGAAGGATCAAGAAAGACCCAGGCTCAGTCGTTCTCCAACCTTTTGAATCACTCACTTCCAACAAACCCCAGCTTCGTTTCATCAGCCAGTTGTCCTCGGCTCTTCTCACCAGCCATTACCTCCTAGACCCCCCTGCCCTCTCTGGCATCCCCTTGCAGTCTGCTGCCTAGCCCTGTGCCCTTCATCATCACCCTGGAATAGGGTGGTCATGCTACCTCTGACTCCGAACCCAGCACCTCAAGAACAGAAGCTACCTTCCGTTACAAAAACACATCAATCCCCATGCCTGCAACACAGAAAGCATGGGCTAAATATTGTTGGGGAATTCTCAAGAGCAGCTTCTCCGTTCAGATGCCCAAGGGTAGGAGGTGACCTGAAACCTGCAGGAAGGAAGGTCACCAATGGCTTAAAGAAGGAAGCAAAATAAACCCCCATAAACTTGAAAGTGACCTCCCTTGGTTAAACATTAAAGGTAGTCCCTCTGTCTAACAAGACGAATCATACACTTGAAACGTTGCAGGTCACTGAGCCAAAGCGAGAGCTCCCAACCAGCCAGGTCTGGTCCATAGGCTGAGCATCACAGTCAGTGCTCAGCAAACATCCCCAGCACTGTGCTCCTTGCAGGCATGTTTTAAAGACTGTCATCCCAGGTCACTCGTTATGTCCTTCTGAAACAGTTTCTCACTGCCCTCACAACACCCTTGAATAAGGGGCAAAGCAGTGTTACCGAGCCCAGGTTTGTAAATGGAACAATTGAAGCTGTAGGAAACCAACATACTTGTCCAAGGTCACAAGGCAAGGTGAGCCAGGACTAGGCCTCCTGACTCACTCTTGAAAACAATTCCATATATTAGCTGCTCAGCAACTAAATACCCCTTCACACACGAATGCACGCACGCATGCATGCATTTATGCACACCTACCTACCTCAGCCTCCACAAATCCATCCATTCTCAAAGGGTCTCTGCTCCTATAGGGCACAGTGTCTTGCCACCACTCCCATGCCTTATAGGGCATTGGGACCCACTTCACTCACCCCTGCTTCAGAGAAGCTTGCTCAGGGTTCCCCTCAAATCTCCCTGCAGGTCTTCTCCACTCTTCCAGCCTCAGTCAATTTACCTGTCTCAGAGACAACCTCTCTTACCCCCACCTTCAGGCCAGGGTGGAACTGGTACCCTGGAGCAAGGGACTAGGACCCATTGCCATGCTTCCACCCATAATCCCTCCCCAGACAGCTGTGCTGGCATTTGCAAAGTCCCCTTGGCCAAGCTGAGCCTGGTCACTGAGCAACCTCCCTGCTTCCCCTACTAGACCTCTGACCAGGCCCAGAAGGTCCAAGGCCATGGTTCTGCCTCCCTCCCCCAAGTTCCTCCATCAGGTGCCACACTCACAGCCCAACCTGCTCCACTTCTGCAGTCTTCAGCAGCTTTTCCCTCGGTCTGAGCAGCCCAAGGAAAACACAGTTAAGTCTCCCGCAGCGCTGCGCCCCTGCTTCCCCGCCCCCATAAGGCTGAAAAGCCTCCTGCAGTCAAACCGCTGCATTAATCACAAGAGCTCACCCCACCCGGCACGACTCCTTCTCACAGTCTTGCCAATTTCAGGGGTCCGAGAGACCCTGGAGAAATGTGATGTATAGCAACCCCACCCCCAGGAACGTGCACAGGCTGCTACCCAGTTGCCGCAGCCCACCAGGCCGGGCTGCCAGCCCCAGCTGCTAAAGGAATGCATGCAATCCACCCACCCCCCCGTGCCCGCAGCGCCCCCCAAGGGACCGCGCGATCCCGAGTAAACAAGTAATTAAGTCTTGACACTACCACTCCCAGAAAGAGCTGCATGGCTCCGGGCAAATACGGTAGCCCGCAGTGACCCGCCCCCAAGGGTCCCGCGCTGGCCTCAATAAATACGGTAACCTCCCTTCCAGTCTGGGGCCCTAGCCAGGGACTCACGTGGAGCCTCCTCTGGAGCCCTTGTCTCTGCTGCAGCGCCGCAGTCGCCAGCGTCGCCGCAGCCGCACAGCAGCCCCGTGAGGCTGGGAGGTCTAACTCGCCAACAACCTGGCTGGCTGGGAAAAGGGAGGCAACAAGCGCTGCGCCTGCTCAGGAAAGGAAAGGGTCCAGATTCTGGGGCATGCCTTGCCTGCAGGAGGGGTTACCCTAATGGTCCAACACCCCCCACCCCCAGCCAGCTCCCTTTCCGGAGAAATGCCATCTTGGTCTCCCTCATCCCTAAGCAGAAGCAGACTGGCCAGCCCCCGGACCTGACCCAAGCAGGCTGAGTCTCTGGGAACAGGGGATCAGTCCCAGAGAACAGGGGAGCAAGAAGGAAGAGACGCAGGGGACCCAGTGCTGGAAAGTCTCAGAATCACCAGAGCTGAGTCTATTGTGATCAAGCCAAAGGTGTCCCCTAAGAAGCGCTGCTTCTAACCGCCGCCCCCACTTCCCCCACCAGAAATACAAGTCTTTACTTCCAGAACTAGAGACAGAGACAAGTGGATCTCTGGAGTTCCCCAGAAGTACAAGTCTTTACTTCCAGAACTAGAGACAGAGACAAGTGGATCTCTGGAGTTCGAGGCCAGCCTTGTCTACATATTGAGTTCCATGCCATATATACTGTGGCTCTATCTCAAATGAAAGAGAGAGAGAGACAGAGAGACAGACAGAGAGAGCGAGCATCCAGAGAAGCAGCAGCAGGTGCAAAAAATAGCACTAAATTCCAGTTTCCCACTGCTCTTTAATAATACCGCTTGCCTGTCCATACCCTTGGCTTTTTAAACCACTGTTTCCCATGTATTAGCTCATGGGAACTTCCAATAACAATTTACATCTATAAAATGGGATAATTATAATATCTTATTATAATATTTTATTATCCTGTTTTATAGATGGGAAAAGATTTTTAAAATAAAACCCAAGGTAACTTTTCCCAGCACCCACATCTTTATAAAAGTAGTAAAGGCCAGCTAAGAAAGGGTCTTAGAGTCCACACAAGATTGATAGGGAACAGACCTGAGAGAGAGGGAATGTCAAGGTTATAGTCACTAGAGAATAACTGATTGAGTTTCTCTGTGACCCCTTGGTAGCTGCCACACAGAGAAATCAGGCTTCCCAGGATCAGGTAGAGCTTTTTCTAACAGGTTCTAGGAATGGCTGATAGGGAGAAAAACTGCACCATGGGCTTTGGGCAGCTCAGATCCCATGAGGGTCCTCCCTGCTTCATAGGCGCAAGTGTCCAGTGCGCTTGCAGAACTCTTCCAGAGGGCTGTGAGACACTGAAAACATCCTCTCGTTCGGAACGCTAGACCCGGAAGTCATGCCTACCTTTCAGTTTCCTTAGGACCAGTGTGTCAGCAGGCCCCGCTTGACTCATTCTGGAGAGCCCACGTCTCCACAATCAGCCCCCTTCCCATCCCTGCGGTCAGTGATGTAGGCAAGCAGTGGCATTGCCATCTGACATGGGAAAGGGGGTTGGTGTTCGACTTGTCCACCAGGTCGTGCTCTGCAGAAGGCTGGTCCTGGCCTCAGGCCTGTTGTCTCCTCTGCTGTCTGCTCTAAGGATAGATAGCACAGCACTGCCAACTTCAGTTCTGATTCTTCCTTTGTAAAGTGGTTCAGAGAATATCAAAGAGGTGGCATCAGATCGAAGACAAGCTCATACTTGTCCTAGAGGTTCACAGTGTGGGGCACTCTGCAGCATTGCAGAGATTAAGGGGTACACAGGTGCCTGGGGCCAGCCAGTCAGCCAGCTATCAGTCAGTCATCCATGGAGAAGGGCATACAGAATGAAAGAAGGGTAAAAAGCTCCAAGACAAACTGTAGATGAAGAGAAACAGGTCATAAGAGCTAGTGGGATGAGCATAAAATAGGGCCAAGCACTCAAAACTAATAAGTCTCTGTGCCATGATTGGGGAACTGGTTGGTGACCCAAGAGAAAGCCCACGTCACATGGCAGCCAGTCCATTAGCAAGGAAACGAAACAAGACAAGGCTTTCTATCCCATCCTCTACTAGGTAAGTGGGTACAAGCCTGCGGTGGCCCTGAGGCCAAGTTTGCAAAAGGCTGCATCAGTTGGATGGGGCTGGATCCTGGACCCATGCTTGTCTTCTGTGAGGAGCAGGCTGAAGGCTGAGTCCTGGACCCATGCTTGTCTTCTGTGAGGAGCAGGCTGAAGGCTGAGTCCTGGACCCATGCTTGTCTTCTGTGAGGAGCAGGCTGAAGGCTGAGTCCTGGACCCTTGCTTGTCTTCTGTGAGGAGCAGGCTGAAGGCTGAGTCAGATAACCTAAGGTCCATGATGAGCAGCTGGTCATTGATAAACAACAAAAGCAGCAAGTTCGACAGCAAAGGGGAGCTGTCCATTGCCAGGGGAACTGAGTTTCATCTCTTCAGCAGGCCACAGGAGAACTGGGGACACTTAGGGAAGACCAAGGTTTTCAAAATCAAGTACAATGACCTATGACAGGTCAGTGCCATGCTCGCAACGGCATTTTCTAGGTAAGCTGTGGCAGCACAGAGCTGTGGGTGGGGATGGAGGACAGGGGATGCCATCTAGAACCCTGGGTCTCCTAGGGGAATGACAGGAATGAAGGCTGAATTTTGGCTGAGTCACATCTGTCTGCCCCTTTCATGTGCAAGCACCTGCCCCCAGCCCAAGCTCATCTTCGTGTGCTGTGGCCAACACAAGACAGTGTGACTGCATTCTGCGTGCATGGTCATGCTTTCTTTATCCAGGCAGGACAGTGACCCACATGTGGCTACCACCATGTAAGGGTCATGAAGCTGCTGGACTCTAGAGCCTAACAAAGGTGTGTGGATCCTTTCTGTGTGGGTGGAAAAGCTGACTCGGCCAGCCCTGCTCGAGCTTTGTGTTGTATTCACCCTGAGGCACGGCAGACAGGTGAGTCAGGAAGACCCCTAAGGGCGCTATAGATCACTGCACTGGGCCTCCCTGAGCACATAATAGTCTGTTTCACTTTGGGTCTAAAGAGATGGAGCCAGGGCTGAAGAAATGGCTCAGAGGTTAAGAGCACTGCCTGCTCTTCCAAAAGTACTGAGTTCAATTCCCAGCAACCACATGGTGGCTCACAACCGCCTGTAATGAGATCTGGTGCCCTCTTCTGGCCTGTAGGCATACATGTGGGTAGAACACTGTGTATATAATAAATAAATAAATATTTAAAACTTAAATAAAATTTATATATATATATATATAAAAGATGGAGCCAGCTAAGCCTGGACTGAAACCCAGCCACGTACACCCTTAGGATAGGACCGCCTTCGTTTCTCTCAGGTATTTTCACAGCAACAGAAAAACCGAGTAACACAGATCCTCACAGAAGCCGAGCTCAACAGAGAAAGTCCTCTCCTTCTCTATCCATAGTGACATGCTCCTCCAGTAGCCACACATGGGGCTTATTAGATCCATAATGGCAACCTCCTAGAGAGTGCTTGCCTGTGCTCACGTCCACCAAGGCCCCAAAGCTTCACTCCCAGAGCTGTAACTCCATCCTTGATTAACACCAGCAAAAACCCACCTATTTCTAGATTTGGGCCATGGGTAAGGAAGAGTGGAGAAAGGGGTGGGGAAAGGCAAGGCCTCTGTTTTGTCTATAGAAACATCATTATTACTAGGGTGCACTATTGCCCCATGTAGCTGTTATATAAAATTCAAGTTAAAACTCAGGAATCAATTGTACAGGTATGGATGTTTGATTGTTTCTTTTTTTGTTTTTGACAAGGATCTCAAGTAGTCCAAACTTTCTGTGTAGACAAGGATGACCTTGAGCTTCTGATCCTCCTGCCTCCACCTCCCAAGTGCAGAGATTAACAGATGTGCACCATGGTGGCCAAGTCTATAGGGCCCTGAAGACAGAACCAAGGACTTTGTACATGCTAGGCAATCACTAGCATCCAGTCAATAAGCTACATCCCCAGCCTCCAGGTTTAAGTGTTTAGAGCCACATGTGGCCAGTGGGTATGATGCTGGACAACAGACATTTCATCATCACAGAAAGTACTGTTACATAGAGATCTAGGACACGTCCCCCAAACCTGGAGACACGGGAGACTCCATCCTCTTCCCCCAAAGGGACAATCTAAGAGGTGACTAATTCCCCTCCCTTCATTGTCCTTGGCTCATCCAGGATGGGTGATGGCATCATACTATTTGGGGCTCTAATGCTCCTCCCACCAAAAGATCAAAGATATTTATGAAACTCAGACCATGTTGGAATGTTTCAGAGGTTCCTTCCACTCTGTCAGCGTTTCCACCAAGCCCCTCAGCAGCAAGGATCTGTTCTCTCTCCAGGTGGGTGCACCTGCTGAGCAGCTGCTCCTCAGGACCCTGGCCTCTGTATCCCAACCCCCACATTCCCTCAATCAGCTTCCATGGCAGATTGGCCCATGAGCCTGAGCGATATACATTAAACCTTCCCAAGGAGCCTGGCCCCTTTGCTGTCAAATCTGATGTTTTTGTTTACCAATGGCCAGCTGCATTTCATGGATTTACCTGACTTACCTGGCTTAGTCTTCAGCCTACTCCTCACAGAAGACAAGAAGAGTCCAGGATCCAGCCCCACCTAGCTGACAGACAGGGTCTTTTGTAAACTTGACGACAGGGCCACTGCAGGCTTGCACTTACTTACCTGGCAGAGGACAGGTTAAAAAGCCTTGGAGTCTTGGGGTTTTTTTTTTCTAGTGGACTAGCTCCCATGTACCCCCTTAATCTCTGCAATGCTGCAGAGTACCCCACACTGTGAACCTCTAGGACAAGTATGAGCTTGTCTTCGATCTGATGCCACCTCTTTGATATTCTCTGAACCACTTTACAAAGGAAGAATCAGAACTGAAGTTGGCAGTGCTGTGCTATCTATCCTTAGAGCAGACAGCAGAGGAGACAACAGGCCTGAGGCCAGGACCAGCCTTCTGCAGAGCACGACCTGGTGGACAAGTCGAACACCAACCCCCTTTCCCATGTCAGATGGCAATGCCACTGCTTGCCTACATCACTGACCGCAGATGATTAGACGAAATCCTGAGTAAGAAAGTCTTGTTAACAAGGTCAGGGCTGGAAACCATATGCTCAAGAGTGGAGTACACAGACTATGACAAATTGTCCAGCATATTAAAATGATTCCCCAGGAAGTCCTTCAGCAAGGGCAGAGACCATGTTCTACTCATCTAGCACAAGACCTGGTGCACAGATCCATTAAGGAACTAATGCTTTGCAACCTGGTCGATGAGCACACAAATCAGTAAGTTAGCCCTCGGGGGGATTTGACCCTGTGAGACTCCGTCACCCAGGAAAAGTGAACAGGAATTCTCAACTTGCACAAGCGGGGGCTACAACTGGGCCTCATTAACCCAAGTGTGCTCACACTCCACTGTGAATGAAATTTAATCACAGGTCATACGAATCCATTCTGGTGAAGGACTGAGCATATTTCATCTCTTCAGTATCTGCCCGCACCACTTTTGGCCACTTGATTCTACAGGGAGCAGGTATTTCCGCAGGGCTACCCTGAGGGCAATGGCTCTCCAGCCCAAATTGGTAGTGCCCTAGGGTGCCTTTCTGGAGTAGGTAAGCTTTTCCGGCTAGATTCAGGATTTGCTAGATGACAAAGAAGAAGCAAGGAAGGATTAGGTTCTGGTACTATGCAGGACACTGAACATCTCCTGAGCAGAAAGGGCAGAGCAGGCTGGATAGGAAAAAAGGGGGGTATTAGAGGGAGGCAGGGGAGCTACTGCCAGTGTGGGTCAGAGGGGATGGCAGAAAGTACTGCAGGACTGGCATACGGCACACCTCACCCAGTGCAGGCCTTCACCCAGTTTAGGATCAAATAATTTGACCAAGAAAGAGCAGGCCAGGCTTAACACTAAGCTCCCTTGCCTCTGCTCCTCAGTAGAAGTACATTGGCTGCAAGGATCTTGTGCGTCCTCTACAGCCTTACATGGCCTTCTGTGACGCTACAGCCAAGGCATCTCCAAAATAAAAAGGTTAAACTACTCTTCCTAGAGCAGTGGCCTAAAGCCAGGCTGAACTCAACACTGTTTGGCATCTCCAGGAAGATGCAGGCCCAGGAGGCCAGCAAGTGCAGTTCTCCCTTCTCCAGAACTGTCCTGGGCCCCATTCTTTCTACTTCTAAACCATCCAGCCCCAGTGCCCATCTTCAGGGAGGAATACATCCAAGGATACAGCCTGAGCTGGAGCCCTGGCTGCTGTCGGCACCAGGACATCAGTCACCCTGCTTTACAGAGGCAGGAGAGGTGACCTCAGAGGGACAGAGTGGGGCACAGAGGATCAGCATATGGGGAGAGACGTATACCAGACATGAGGGAGAGTGGGAGACAGAAAACTACCCTCCAGCCTGGGCAGCAGGTAGGAGGAGGGCACATATGAATGGCAACCCCACCAACACCCTCGGAGTCCTAGGTGCACACATATCTGGTCTCCGGTAGCTTGATGCAGAAAGGACAGCGACACCACGTGGAATATTTAGTCCTTCATTTTTCTCCAACACCATTATAGGCGAGGACCCATGTCAGTCACAGACACCTGCACACCTAGAACACACGGCCCACTCTTGCACAGCGACTTTCCCAGGCAACCAAGCTTGGCTGAGACCATGTGCCCGTACCCAACCCTTAATCATCACATACATTATCAGTTCTATGGCCAGGTCTGCCACACCTAGCACCATGAGACACCCAGGGTTGGAGAGAGACCATCAAATCATCCAGCGTGGTACAGGTGGCACTGTCCTTGGTGCTGGGGAAATAATTACTCCTCCTAGCCAAATCGGAGTCTGTGACCCTCTTCCCACAGGGACCACCCCTCTAACCATCTTGTAGCTATGTGACAGGACAGTGCTACCGATGATCAGTTCCAGGCCACTTCACACAGGAGGCTTTCCTAGGGCTCTTCACTAGGAAGGCAGGGGGTCAGTTCTAAATGCTAATGAACACATTCCCATCAGACTCAGCTTTGAACCTCACCTCCTCCCCCAATAGGCACTTCTCAGGCTTCCTTGAGATGTTTCTGGAATACCATCCTCAGGTCTCAGAACCTTGGGGAGCTTTTCAATAGGATCTAACTTGAAGGGCATCAAGAGTCAGCATTCCCGGCCCTCCTGTTCCCCACGACATCCTGTAAGAACACATTCTACCGCCTGCCACCATCAACTACACAGGTGGCGCGCACACTACAGCTCTTCTTCCTCCTCTGGGCCAGGGTGTGGGGCCTGAGCTCCGCGATGCACACGCTGGTGCTTGAGTAGATGCTGCTTTTGACGGAATCCACGGCCGCAGGCAGTGCACAGGTAGGGTCTCTCACCAGTGTGGTTGCGCCGGTGTCGTGTGAGGTTGGGTTTCTGGCTGAAACAGCGTCCGCAGTCTGGGCATGCATAGGGCCGCTCGCCGGTGTGAATGCGCTGGTGGATGGTGAGCGCTGACCACCATGAGAAACTCTTGCCGCACTCGTTACAGATGAACTGGCGCTGCTCACTGGGTGCAGCCTGGGTCTCGCACTCCTGACCACACAGCACTTCCTTGGCATCCTGAGTACCCTGGGTCTTCAGAGTCACACTTGGGGCAATCTCAGCTTGTGACTCTGAACCAGGCACGCCACTCTGGACTGCAGATCGCGACCGTAGCAGCTCTGTAGCGGCATGCACACGCTGGTGCGCCCGCAGTGCCGCACGGCTGGGGCAGCTCTGTCCACAGCTGGTACACCTCGTGGCCTGGGCACCAGGAAGGTGCGTGCGCAAGTGCTTGAGCAGGTGCTGCTTCTGACGGAAGCTGCGGCCACAGTGCGAGCATGGGTGAGGCCGCTCGCCTGTGTGGTTGCGCAGGTGCCTCGTGAGGTTGGGCTTCTGGCTAAAGCGGCGGCCGCATTCAGGGCACGCATAGGGCCTCTCGCCTGTGTGGATGCGCTGATGGATATTCAGCGATGACCACCATGTGAAGCTCTTGCCACACTCATTGCAGATGAACTGGCGTTGCTCATTGGGACCTAAGCGGTGGTGAGCTGCTGTCCGTACCCTGTGCTGGCCCCACCAGCCCTGGCAGAGCCCCAGCCAGAGCCACTCAGGGCATCTGCGTGGGGATCCAGGGCGCAGGCGGCAGGCCTGGCGGCGTGCCGCAGCATACTGAAGCATCTCATGCAAGCTGACATGGGCACCCAGGTGGTCCCGGGCATGCGTTCGCAGATGGATGCGGAGGCCCACTTGGTGCCTGAAGCAGCGCTTGCATTCTGGACACGAGTGGGTGGTGGGCCGAGAGTGAGTCTTCTGGTGCTTGAGCAGGTGCTGCTTCTGACTGAAGCGTCTTGTGCACTCTGGACAGCAGAAGGGCCTCTCACCAGTGTGGTGACGCTGGTGGCGCTCCAGGTTGGGCTTCTGGCTAAAACTCTTGCCACATTTGCTGCAGAGGTAAGGCTTCTCGCCCGTGTGTGTGCGCTGGTGGATCTTCAAGGATGACCACCAGCTGAACCTTTTCCCACAATCCATGCACACAAAATGACCCCCACCCACAGAAAGTACAGGGCTCAGAAGGCCTGGAGCTGTCCCCGGAACTCGAGCAGCCAGCCGGGCTTCCTGCTCAGGGGGTGGGGCCCACCAAGCACCCCCAATTTCCTCCTGTGACCCCATAGCCCGCCGCCCCATAGTCTGGCATGGTGGGAGGCCACTCTGCGGCTGAAATGTGTTTTCCTTGTCCTTCTCCGGAAGTGCAGCCTGAGATATCACAGTCTGCAGCGGCCACTCTGGTTTTTCCTGCTTGATCCCTGCCAGCCCATCTCCTGCAGAGGAAAAGGGAAAAGTCAGAAGACGTGATTGTGGGGTTCAATGAGCCTAGTGAGGAAGATGTCGAGGCATCTTCCTAGTGAGGAAGATGTAGGGGTAGTTGAAACAGTGAAGGCAAACAGCTTTAAATGTAGGGAGGAAGATGGGAAGAAAGAATGGGGGTAGGGGAAGACAAGGATCCGATGTGGGCAGGGAGAGTGTGAAGAGAGGAGAAAGCCCACAAAGACAAGTGCAGGACTAGCTTGCCAAGGTTGTGGAGTCCCTCATGAACAAACTGTCCTTACTTCTCTACCCAATGCTCAGCAGATGCAGAGATATAAAAGAACCCAGGCTGTGGAGGCCCAAAACTGTGATCCTATTTCCTTCCTGACAGATGGTCAGGATGTGCAAACACACGTTTTTGCTCCTTCTTTTGTAAAATAAGGTTAGGTTACCTGGGGAGTGGATGCCTTCAGGATAGTTGGTCTAGGCTGGCTTCACTGCCTAAACAACAGAATGCTAATGACTTGATTTCTCAAAGTGTTAAAGCAATTAACTGTTCAAGCTGTCCTTTGTATCATGTTAAAGAAGTCTTTTGTTGCCTTCTTCCCCCTTTAGTATTGGAGTATAAAAGCAAATGGAAAGGAATTTCAGGATTCACTGGAAGATCCTCCTGGTACTATTCTATGGTTTCTGCTTCATTATTTTTCACATATCTTCTTATCCTTTACTTATATTTATAAATCCCTGGTAAGAGGTGTTTTTGTTGAGTCTGGTCCCCAACACCAGGCAGTGATGCTTCCTGACCCAGGAAGAAAGAAGATCGCCAATGTTCAAAATTTCAATTTAAAAAAATGTTAATAGAACCTTCATCTGGCGATGGATGGAGATAGAGACAGAAACCCACACTGGAGCATCGGACTGAGCTCCCAAGGTCTCAATGAAGAGCAGAAGGAAGGAGAACATGAGCAAGGAAGTCAGTACCACGAGGGGTGCACCCACCCACTGAGACAGTGGGGCTGATCTACTGGGAGCTTACCAAGGCCAGCTGGACTGTGACTGAAAAAGCATGGGATAAAACCAGACTCTTTGAACATGGCAGACAATGAGGGCTGATGAGAAGCCAAAGACAATGGCACTGGGTTTTGATCCTACTTCATGTTCTGGCTTTGTGGGAGCCTAGCCAGTATGGATGTTCACCTTCCTAGACCTGGATGGAGTGGGGAGGACCTTGGACTTTCCACAGGGCAGGGAACCCTGACTGCTCTTCGGACTGGAGAGGGAGGGGGAGAGGAGTGGGGGGAGGAGGAGAAGAGTGGGAGGAGGGGGAGGGAAATGGGAGGCTGGGAGGAGGCGGGAATTTCTTTTTTTTCTTTCAATAAAAAAAATTTAAAAAAAATGTTAAAATGTTCAATTTTTAAAAAGTGACTCTGTGAGGGGAGGGGCAGTTCAATGTGGAGGTCCGAGGATGGCTCTGTGGAGTCGGCCTTCCCCTTCCACCTTCAGGTAGGTTTAGAGAGGTTGAACTTGAGTTGGGCTGCCAGGCTTGCTAAGAGCACCCCCTGCCTTGTAAGAGCTCTGCCTGCCCCATAACGCATCTCCTGTCCAGTAGAGAGCACCACCTGTCCCCAAAGAGGACTTAACCTATTGAGTCATCTCACCAGGCTAAAACTTACTATTCTCTTCCTAGGAGAATTGACGCCAGGACTTTTCCAGGCAAAGGCATGCCCAGTGCCTCGGTGGTTAGGGCTAACACACCCTTAGTTGTCAACCCTTTGTCTCCAATGGCAGGGTCCCTGCTTTAATACAGCACCCAAGAGCAGGAACAACCCACTGGAAGGGCCTCCATCTTTCTCTCACAAAACCAAGAATGAGGAGGTAGGCCCCGAGGCTCAGCATGGAAAAAGGTATTCCATGCCCTTTTAGGAAAGGTAATCCACCAGGACAGTGGTTCTCAACTTTCCCAGTGCCGCGACCCTTTAATGCAGTTCCTCATGCTGTGCTGACCCCCAACCATACATCATTTTTGTTGCTACTTCATTACTGTAATTCATTATGTAAATATCTGATATGCAGGACATCTGATATGAGACCCCCGTGAAAGGGATCAACCCTCAAAGGGATCACAACTTACAGTTTGAGAACCACTACACTAGAGCTCAGGGAAACAGCTCCCAGCCTACACCTTATATCCAGGCTCCCAGCGGTAAGGAGCCATGGTGAAGACAGCTTCAGAAAGGGCAGAGTATAGCTGTGATTCACCTATATGAAAATCAAATCTGGTGAAACTATCTGTGAATTAGATCACAGCCCGTCACAGAGGCAGGAGTTCTGAGATCCTGTCAGTGATCTCCCTTGATGTGGGGGTCCTGGTCACAAAGGTGAGCTGTTTTGTAAGAATTTATGTAGTTTGTAACATGTGCTCCTTTCTGTGTGTGTTATGTTTCAGTAAGAAGCTCACAACCAATAAGAAGGAGGCAGTATGAAATTGTCATGAGTCAGGAAGATTTGCAAACAATAGATTTCAGCATCAGCACAGAGACACATTCAAAGAAGTAGAAAGAAGGCACTAATAAAGTTAAAAAACGAAGACTCACAGAAGTACAAAAGGGTTCCAAAAATACTAAAATATTGTATATAGCCTTTATATCACTGAATTTGTAAACATAAAGTAAATAATATTATAAGAAAATATAAATTAAAATGAATTCAAGAGCAGGTTCAAGGGGCTGGAGAGATGGCTCAGTGGTTAAGAGCACCGTTGCTCTTCCAGAGGACCAAGGTTCTGCTCCCAGTGCCCACAAGGCGGCTCATAATCAACCTGCAATGACGCTCTCTTCTGGCCTCTATGGGTACCGCATGCACAGACACATGCAGGCAAAACATGCATGCACATAAAAATGGCCTAGCAGTGTACTCCTTTAACCCCAACACTTGGTAGGCAGAAGCAGAGAGAGCTCTGTGAGTTTGAGGTTAGTCTCGCCTACATAGTAAGTTGCAGGACAACCAGGACTACATAAGCTACCTAAAGAGACCCTGTTTTAAAACAACAACAACAACAAAAAAGTAAAAATAAAAACACATTTTAAATAAGAACAGGTTTTAAAAACTGACTATATAAATGCTTATAAGAAACTATTGTGAAAGCTGAATTCTAGCTTGGTCGGGTTATAAACAACATAGCTGTATCAACACAGTCTATAAAAAAACTCAAAGGGAGGTTGAGAGCTGTCTCAGCACCTAAGAGCATGCGCTGCTCGGGACTCAGTTCCCGGGAGGGAGCTCACAACCAGCTCTAACTCTAGCTCTGGGGATCTGATGCTCCCTTCTGGCGTCTGTGGGAACCTCCACATTGTGTGTCACACACTCACAGACACACACAGCACTCAAAAATGAAAAATGTCTTTTTGAAGAAAGGACTAGTACCAGCTCTAGAACTATTCAGTAACTGGGGAGGAAGAAGGAAGGAGGAAAGGAGAGAAGAGGGAGGAAGACAGAGGAGGAGAGGAGAGAATGAGGGACAGGGAGCAGTGGATACCACAAGCATGCAAAGATGGGAGTAGGCAGGTTTACTGCTGTGGTTTACGCTCCTCAGACACAAACGTTTGCAAAGCAAGCTCAGCAGAATGAGAGCTATTATAGCCTTGCTGGGACTTTTTTCCCAGAAAAGTAAGGATATAATTCTTGATGTTAACTTATTAAAAGTAAAGTATCAGCTGGGGTTGTAGAGTGCTTGCCTGGCATTAATGATTCCCCAGCATTAAAAAAAAAAAAGTATTCCTTATACCATTCTCAAAAGATACAGAAAGTCATATAAAAAAAATAAACACCGTTTCAGGAGGAGGAAAGGAAAGCATCAGCAAACTAGGAATATAAAGACATTCAAGATGACAAAAGATGCATATTAAAATTACAAGCTTCCTATTCAACAGCAAAGGAGTGAAGACAATACTAAGAACAAATTAAGGATACTCATTATCACTGATACTATTTAACCTTGAAGACTCAACCAAAGGATAGAAGACAAAACACAAAAATACTGCAAAGAGGAAAGAAAACCTCTCCTGCACTTATGATTATTAACTTGGGGGTGTGCCAGAGAACCCACCAACAAACTGAAATACTATGGTGCTGTGAGAACGCCAGGCACAAAGGCTTACGAGATCAATCACTTTTACATGATAAATTAGCTGTGAGAGCCTTAGGAAGCATTCTGAAAGAAAACCACTAGACTTCATTGAAGACAAAGGTCTTAGTGCCAACTGTCTTTCTGTGGTGGTTTGAATGGGAATGGCTTCCAGAGGGGGCATATGTTTGAATACTTGGTCCCCAGTTAGTAGAAGGAAGGGTGACCTTGTTGGAGGAGGTGTGTCAATGGGGGCAGGCTTTGAGGTTTCAGAAGACTTGCACCATTCCCAATGCACTCGCCAACCCCCTCTTGGTCTCTCTCTCTCTCTCTCTCTCTCTCTCTCTCTCTCTCTCTCTCTCTCTGCCCTCAGCTGTTCCTTCACTCCACCATTATGGAGTCTAACTCTGAAATCATAAGCCAAATTAAATGATTTTCCTTAATGCTGCCCTGGTCATGGTATTTTATCACAGAAACAGGGATGTAACTAAGACATTTTCTTTCAGGAGAAATACAATAGATTCCTGGTGCACAGTGTTAATAAAAATCAGCTCTATTGGGAGCGTGGGGACCATGGGAGAGGGTAGAAGGGGACAGGGGAGGAAAGAAAAATGTATAGCTCAATAAAAACAATAAAGGAAATCAGCTCTAAGTAAATTTTGGTCTTCCCTATGCTTGGACATGAGAATTCATTTGAATAATTCATGCTTAAGGAGGAAAGCAGTAGCTGGGCTGTGGTGGTGCACACCTTTATTCCCAGCACTCAGGAAACAGAGACAGGCTTGTGAGTTTGAGGCCAGGCTGGTCTACAGATGGAGTTTCAGGACAGCCAGGGCTGTTACACAGAAACCCTATCTCGAAAATAATGACTTCAATTATACATTGGCAGGAATGGGGTATTCAAGTGTAATGAGTTTAATTAATTATAGGACTGTCCCCTGACCTGCACTGAAATCTGGGCAAAGGAAGTATTTAGTGCAAGTATCTACCCTGGCAGTGAGTCTGAGGTTTATTCAGTGAGATGAGATCACTCTCCCTAATTGACACCATATCTATTAAAATAACCCAGAGGCCCCATGTTTGATGCCTTATCTAGTTAAACTAGCCTTGATATCCAACCACAAAGACAACCATGGACAAAGCTCTTCTCCAAGCACCTGCTGAACAGAATAGAGGAAAATGGACCCAGCACAGACCCCTGCAGATCCTCGGCTGAGGAAGGGAGTGTGCTTGAACTCCAGCCTGTCCAGAGGTACATTCCTCTGGGCTCAAGTGTGGTAAAAGTCTCTGGCCTACAGGTAGTATTCCCCATTCTTATAGCAAAACAATGCTCTCTGTTGCCATGACAGGACTGTTACCAAGAGCTGCGAGGGCCACTGGCAGGTGGGGGCTGCTGCAGCCCTGCAGAGAGCTCCTATCAAGAGCACAAGACCAGGAAGGAAAATTTTCCACTCCAGGAAGCATTTGCCTGGGAAATCCCCAGACTTGCTGTGTTTGTCATCATAACAGCCACAATGATGAAGACCCTGAACTCCGATGACCCTGGATCCCTTATAGTCTGGACTGACGGTCAATGGACAGCAGCTTCTTCGCCAACCGCCCGAGCCAGAGAGCTTATTCTCTGAGTCTGACCAGGCAAGTGTCCCCAAGCCCCAGTCCCAGCACTGAAAAGCACACCCCACTTTTTACCCAGGCTGCTGTGCGTCTATCGATCTGGCTTTGCCTTTTCTGTGTTCCCAGGATTACTGCCTTTTGTTTTATTCTTTGGATGACCATCAAAGTCTTGGTTCCCACCCTGAATTCTACATTCTAGAAGATACCAGTTAAGGGCGGCAACTTCTATTTGGCTCCCAGGAGAGCAAGGGGTCTGGGAGAGGGAGGCTGACTTCTCTTACCTGAGCCACTGCCAGCCAGGCCGCTCTCCATCCCTGCAGGCCTCCCTCTGCAACAGTGCTGGGGAGGTCTCAGCCCTGCCACCTGAGACAAGATGGAAGAAAAGAGAAAGAAGGGCCAATGGCACACAGTCAAACCCATTTTCCCAGTCCTCTCCCATCTCACAGCCCAGGCTTCTCAGAATTCCACCCACTCCCTCAGGGGACATGTACAGACGCAAAGGTAAGAGGGCACAGTTCTCATTTATGAAGAGGAAACTGGGCCCAAGAGAGGCCTTGATGTGCCCAGAGACACAGAGACTAAACAGCGGAACTGGGTATGAACTCCCTAACTCCCTCACCGAGGCCTCAGGGCCCAAACCCTCTGGCATGGGTAGAAGGCATGTGAGGGGTACGACCCCTGAGGTATCTCAGGTAAGGTTGGGTTATCTTCACTAGAAAACCAACTCTGGGCCCTAGAGACAAGCCCCCTTGCCCCACCTTCCTGAGTCTGCTCTGGGGGTGCTTACCCAGGCTAGAAATCAAGAGCCCTGACTAGAAATGCAGAGCCCAGATGCAAGGCAGGGGAGGGGGCACCTGGAGAAGCTGAGTGCTTGGCCAGCATGTGCAAGACCTGGAGTTCAATTCCTATTTCCTAGGTCAATGGGACACTCTTCCAATACCCTGAACAATGACATGGCACAGCCACTGTTGCTGCCACCACCACCAAGAACGTGCTAGATCACCGCTCCCTAGTTCATAATCAAGCATTCACAAATCTTATTTTTTAAAAAGATTTATTAATTTATTATGTATAAAGTATTCTGCCTACATGTGTACCTGTAGGCCAGAAGAGGGCACCAGATTTCATTATAGATGGCTGTGAGCCACCATGTGCTTGCTGGGAATTGAACTCAGAACCTTTGGAGAAGCAGCCAGCGCCCTTAACCTCTGAGCCACCTCTCCAGCCCCATCAATCTTATTTTTTTTATTTTTTTTTATTTTTTTTTATTTTTTTTGGTATTTCGAGACAGGGTTTCTCTGTGGCTTTGGAGCCTGTCCTGGAACTAGCTCTGTAGACCAGGCTGGTCTCGAACTCACAGAGATCCGCCTGCCTCTGCCTCCCGAGTGCTGGGATTAAAGGCGTGTGCCACCATCGCCCGGCTCCATCAATCTTATTTTATGATCATCATTTGAACATTAGCTGCTTCCCTTTATACCTGGGGTCTGGCTTGAGACAGACCATACGGCTGCTCAGATGCCCCAGGCTTTGACCCCCTCTGCCCTGCTCATCACTACAGTCTCTGCCTCTCTCACTCTTGCTTCCTCCTTACCAGAGTGGCTGGCTCACCCTGGGACCTCAGTGTACAAGCCTAACCCCCACCACCTTTCTTTTCCATTTCTCTGTATTTAAGAGTGTGAGGCAATGTCTCGTGTATGCCAGAGTGGCCTTGCTTGCCACATACTCAAGGATGCCCTTCAGTTCACGACTTTCTGACATGCCTGCCTTTCTAGGCGGTGCTAGGGCTAGAACTCACGGCTTCCAGGATGGATGCATTCACTGGACGAACTGAGTTACCTCCCTAGCTCACCTCCAACACTTTCTATCACCTCACAGCATCTTTACTGGTCTGTGTATTCCCAGGTCTGCTGCCTGGCTTTGTGCTGTGGGTCACAGGGGGTCTCATGCTATCCACCACATTGGTGTGACTGTCTCTCCTAAGGCTGGCGTCCAGCTTCACCTGACACAACCACGGACTCTGTGGCTAGCTGCCCAATAGAAATTCAAAGCTTGTTTCATGCTAGCCCCGACAGGAACTTCTTGGTACTTTTGATTGGGTTATCTTCACTAGAAAACCAACTCGGCCCTAGAGACCAGCCCTCAATTTGATGTCTCCCCCTCCCCTTCCTGAGTCTGCTCTGGGGGTGCTTACCCAGGCTAGAAATCAAGAGCGCTGACTAGAAATACAGACCCCAGATACAAGGGGTGGGTGGGGGGAGACACCTCCTTTTAGTTGCTAAGGTCTGACTCTGTCCTCTCTAAACAAATGTAAATCTTTTCAAAACTAAATAAGCCTCTTGCCAGCTTGACAACCCACTGTCTTCCTCAAGGGTCTGGGAGCTGCCCATTGGAGATAGGAAACAGGCAGGTAGCCCAGAGTCCTCTCTCCTCGGAAAACTGGGTGCCTCCCTCCAGCAGGCTGGCACCTGGCAGCAAACCTTTTTTTCTGTCATAAAAATATGATGCTTATTTTTAGTTTGGATAAGGGCAATTATCTAACAGATAGTCACCCCCAACAACCAGGTGGACTCATGAGTTACATGTGACATGCGACATTTTCCTGCCTAACGACCAGCAGAGTTTTGTTGTGAGAACATGCTTCTTCCTGGGTTACATCTGGGCCAGTGTTATCATTCTTACTAATATTTATTCAATGAAAAAGTAAACCTTTTTCTTTTGCCCCTGTGCCCTCTTCTATGGAGGCAGCCAGTCTTATTTGTGGTTCTGATTCTCCAGGGGGTCTGGGACACACTCCCACTCCCGCTGTGTTTTCTCACAGACACTGAAACCCACTGGTGGCAGAGGAGAGAGTAGCAAGCAGCTGAAGGCAAGCCCTAACTTAAGGGACATCTGGGGACTTGAGCTCCCTCTTGCCCACCACCCAGTACCCCCAGGTCCCTCTATCTGTGTGTGAGTTTCTGCACCCCACACCTTGGGAATCACCTCAAGAAACCTAGAGGACCGAAACAGAAAAGTCACCCGGCCATGAGACTCAACTGAGAGACAGAGCTAGAGGGTTGGGACTCAGCCTACACACGTGAGAGGCCCTAGACCACCCAGTCAGAGCACACGTCACCCACTCTGGCTTCTAAGAACTGTTTAAGAAATGGAACTGATTTAAGAAATGGCTTTGATTCCTGGTAACCCAGCCTGAGCACCGCCTTAACATGTCTGTTCAGGCCACACCAGGCAGAAGAGCAACTCCTCTGGGGTCCCAGCAGGAACAGACCAGGGAGCAGAGGAAGGAGACCCACACAGGCCCAAGGAGATGAGGAGAGAAATGAGACGAGAGGACAGAAAAGGCAGAGACATGTGGAGGCAGGATGGACTTCCCATATGCTCAGGTGCTCCATGTGTGAAGAGCACACACCCGGAGAGCCAATCCCAGGGCAGACCCTACACATGGACACTCCCCTCAGTGCCCCGCCCCCCATGCTCTAAGGGTCTCTCATTCCATCTGTCATTCTGCCATGAACATTGTCCCTCCTCATAAACCACCTGACACACCAGTCAGCTGACAAGAGACACACCCAAGTGAGCAGGTTTTCCACCTATACACCCTAACAGGACATAGGCACAAGGGGCAGGTGCAACCCTACACACACACACACACACACACACACACACACACACACACTACTTCCTATATAGTCTCAAGAGACAGGAAGAGAGGCTGGTCTACCACAGGGCCCTGAACCTTGACTCTGGGTTCCTTCCATCACCTGTGAGAACTCTGAGGACAGAGCATACACAAGATAAGGCCCCCGGTCACCCCGATCTTCCTGTGGCCTGCTGGAACTTAGAGACCCACACTGGGTCAGGTTGCAGTTTGGATATGAACTCCCCTGACCGGAAGCCCCAAACCATCAGCTGCTCTGCCAACTACAGAAACACAAAGAGGGAACTGTGGCCCGTAGCAGGTGGTGAGGGCTGGGACAGGGGATATAACCAGGGGACTTTGGTGTCAGCACAGATCGCAGTGCATGGGGAAGAGAAGTGGAAATGAGGGACAAGCAACTCAGAGACCTGTTCAGGTCCCCCAGGCTCACCCCTGCCCAGGAATGGAGGTGAGAAGTGAACGGCACTTCATATCTCCTTTGTCACCAGCAAAGCAGGACTTCCCATGACAAGAGCCCGGCCACAGGGTTTTCTTAGTGCAGGGGTCCCACAAGGTCCTAATGCCGTTGAGCTCTCCTCCTTCCCAGGAGACCCAGCCAGGAAGCAGCCTGCCTCGGGGCCCTCCCCACATGGCCATTCCCTCTATCCCACTTCCCTTTCTGGCAAACACATCTTTGCTAGCATTCGCTGACCCTGCCTGTCCTCAGGGCACCCCAGCAGGGGCATCATCCTTCTGTCCTCAGGGCACCCCAGCAGGGACATCATCCTTCTGCTTGCTTTCCCTGCCTCCAGCCTCACCAGGGAGCTGCCAGAGAGCTGGGACAGCATCTACATGGGGATAGTGGAGAGCAGCATCTGTCCCCTCTGTGCCAAGGAGGCTCTTAGATCTCCCCATGGGGAGAGAATGTGCATCCCCCAAACCCACACAGACCTGAGGGTGGAGGAAGGGGCGTCCGTGACAGTGACCTGGGGAAGAAAGATGAGGTGGTGAGCAGGAACAAGGAGAATGCCACTAGCTGCTGAGCATCTGCTATCACACATTCAGCAAGCAAAGCCCACAACATCCTTTAGCTCAGGAAGTTCTGCCTCAGGTCATGTAAATGCTGGCACCATGATGGATGAGGGGGAGGGTGCTTGCCCCCACTGGAGCACTTTCCATAACTATGTAGCCTCGAAGAGAAGGTACAAGACTTATCTGAGGGAGAAGACAACTCTAAACTCCCTCATTTTCAGGAATTTGGCTTCTATGCCCCAATGTGGTTATTTAAATTCAAATGAGTTGAAAAGATGGCTCATAGGTTAAGAACACTGGCTGCCCTTACAGAGGACCAGAGTTCAATTCCCAGTGCCTACATGGCAGTTCACACCTGTCTGCAATTTCAGTTCCAGGGGATCTGGCACCCTCACACAGACATACATGCAAGCAAAACACTAATGCCCATAAAATAAAAATAAATCATTAAAAGATACAACAACAAGCATCCTCAAATTTAAATAAATTAATGGTGTGGGAGAATGGTCTGCATTCTGTCAATTATATTTTATAATTATAAACGCTGATTGGCCAGTAGCCAGGCAGGAAGTATAGGCAGGACAACCAGAGAGGAAGTAGAGGTGGGTCAAAGAGAACAGGAGAATTCTGCGAAGGAGGAAGCCCATTCCTCAGCAGTCCTGACCAGCCACAGAAGAAGTAAGATGTGACTGCCTCACTGAAAAAGGTACTGAGCCATGTGACTAACATAGACAAGAATACTGGGCTAATATAAGCTATAAGAGCTAATAAGAAGCCTGAGCTAATGGGCCAATCAGTTTACAGTTAATGTGGACCTCTGTGTGATTTCTTTGGGACTTAATGACTGCGGGAGCCGGTAAGGACAGAAAACCTCAGACAACAAGTTAACTTTTAAAATTCAGTTTCTCAATCATATTGGTCACATATAAGTATTCAAAGGCCACATGTGGTTACCCCACAGTGACTGACAGCCAAGGCCACTGCTGTCTTGCTGGGGGTGAACAAAAGAGGCTCCATACACACTGAGTGACTGGATAATTAAGTTGAAGACTTAGAAGTGGTTACTCCTCTGTTCCCAGTCCTTTGTCAGTAACAACAAATTTACTCTGCTTCTGAATGGATTTCAGTCAAACATGACCAAAGGCCAACAGGAAGCTGAGAAACATAACCAACTGCACATGCAAGCCATACCTCCTACTCAAACCAGTTCAGCAAACAGAAATGCAAAGATGCAGAATGGATACCTGCCACATTGCACAGTGGCCGCTGTACCCAGTGTGCTTTCCAGATCCAGTTAGCCATGGCCAACCTCACCAGGTGCAGTACAAAAAGACATTTTGAGAGAACAAAGAATCACGTGACATTTAATATAGTACACTGTCATAACTGTTACATTGTATCCTTATCCTCTCTTTGTGTCTAATCTGTAAATTAAACTGGCAGATGTACATGCTGGAAAAAACTGGTACAGCCCAGTATTAGCTGTAATCTCAAACATGCACTGGAGTCAGATGACACGGCAGCATGTCCTTCACATGCTGGAGGGCTGGAGGACTGTACATGTAGGCACAGGAAAGTGTCTTCCAACAGGCATAGGGGCTGGGGAGGTGCCTGGGTAGTTAGGAGCACTTGCTGCTCTTACAGAGATTAGTCTCCCAGCACCCACATGGCTGGCAAGGTGAGTAACTCTGATTCCAGGAGATCTGACTCCCTCTGCTGGTCTGCCTGCATATGTGTGGTGCATAGACATACACACAGGCAAAGCACCCAGACACATAAAGTAAAATTAAGTCTTTCAAAAACAAATGCATATCCAACAGCATGCAAGCATGCCCGTGTGAAGCGCACCAACACAAACTGCTACACAGCAGAAATGCAGGCAGTTTTCTCAAAGTGGAATGCAGTAGGACATTCATGTGATCCGAGCTTTCACTAAACAGGAGCCCGCAGAGTTGAAGGCCAGCCTAAGCTACATATAAAGTTCAACACTAGCCTGGGTTACACGAAGCCCTACCTTCTAAAAAAAAGTCTTTGACTATCCAGAGCCTTATTAACACACCTATTTGTTAGAACTTAGGGAGGCAGGAAGCCCCGAGTAGAAGCCCTGTGTAGCCTTATGAAACATAAAGACTAAATTAGGCCCAGCAGCCAATGCATTGTGAGATCCTTCAGGGCCCAGCCCACACAGAACCAGCAGGCCATTCCCCTTTATCAACTTTGGATGAGATGAGTTACCCCAAGTCTAAATCATCAACTCAAGTTTCTCTCTTGAGCCCACAACCAAGTCTAGCGAAGTTCTTCCAGGCCTCCACATCACACCTAGAATAGGAATCAGGAACCCATCCTGGGCTATCTGTCACCAATTCTGAGTCCAGGTCTTACTGTTTCTCAGCTAAATGACTTAAAAAAAAATGTCAGTGAGATCACTCAGTGCATCGGTTATCAACTCCTGGGTTGACTAAGACCATCAGAAAACACAGATATTTACATTACATAACAGTAGCAAAATTAGTTATGAAGTAGCAACTTCAAAACATTTTATGATTGGGGTCACCACCACATGAGGAACTGTATTAAATAAAGGGCCGCAGCATCAGGACCAACATGAGGAACTGTATTAAATAAAGGGCCGCAGCATCAGGACCAACATGAGGAACTGTATTAAAGAGTGGCAGTGTTAGGGAGGCTGAGAGCCACTGGCTTAGTGGGTAAAGGATTTGACATGCAAACCTGTTTACCTAAGTTTGATGCCCAGAACCCATGTGATCCACATGGTAGAGTGTGAGAACCAACTCCCCCAAACTGTGACACCTCTCCCTCCCTCCTTCCCTCCCTCTCCCCCCCACCTCTCACACACACACAATCAATAAAATCCTAAAGTCTTACTGATTTCTTGGTCCCTCGAATTCACCTGTCACCCAGAAGCCACTGCGATTTGGACGTTTTACTCCCCTAACATATTTCAAGGGCTCCCTGGCACCTGGAGATCTAGACAAAATGTCGCGGCAAGGCCACTCAAAGTTTAGTCTCTGGTTCCCTACCCCATTGTCCCATACATCTTACCACCCAATGCCCAGATTTGCTGTGCCCTCACCCACCTGCACACCTCCAACCTGTCTTGCAGTGACCTTGCCCATATCCCTTCCCAGCCCAAATCAGGGCCGCTGTGCCAGAGACAGACACCGTTTAGAGATGCAAAGCTACTGTTTATGTCACCCAAATGAGTACCAGGGTAACTGTCATTAGTGACTCTCTGTTACTAACAGAAGATCAAACGCATCCTAATACAGGCTTCCTGAACTGCAGCACACAGTCCAGGCCCCAGCCTTGTAGACCACTACAAAACACGGTTTTGAGGGCACATTTAAATAAAGGTTGGCCCACAACTGATTGGCAGAAGCACAGAATCATGGAACCTTGGAACTGACAGGACACAAATGCTATGGAATGTTTTCATGTTATTGCTCCACACGGGCTAAGAAACAAAACCGAACAAACAAAAATGCACAGCCTGGAATGTCACTTGTCTCCAACCTTAGGTGACCACACCCAGCTTCCACTGCAACTGGAGACAATTCTGGGCTCGAGGTCACCCAACACCACACCCACTGAAGCTGCTGCAGCAATTTTACTTGAAGGGTGTCTCGGGAACTACCCTCTCCCCGAAAACGCGCACTGTAACTTCTGTGTGTGTGTGTGTTTTTTTTTTTTTCTCGCGTATTCTCCACCTCCATCCTCATCCCTGCTCATGGAACCGTTCACTTAGGGATCACCTACTCTGATTCTTTCTGTAGCCAACAATGAGGTTTCTGTCTCCAGAAGCGCGTCTACGCGGGGAAGTGGGGTGGGGGCAGACACAGAGAACTCAGAACAACCAGAGGGGCCATGCGTTGGCGACTCTCTGCTCTCCTACCCCTTGACCTCGCTGCCCTGGCCTGCTGCCCTCCCTGCCAGCCTCAGATCTCTCCCGGCAGCGCTGGGCAGGGTGCTGGTGGTGCATAAAGTTGGGGCCTGGAGCTGAGGTGCGCGCGGGATTCGGGGCACCTCAAGGCCCCGGACTCATCCTTCCTCTGCAGTCCGGGACAGCGGAGCAGCGGCCGGGCGCTGGTGCATCCCTGCACCGCCCCTCCCCGCCCGGAAAGCACAGGGACTCGGGGGAGGGGGCCTGGGAAATAAATACCTTTGACTTTGTGGCTAAGGTTAACGGGAGCTGTTACCCAAGGGGTGACTTGGGCACCGGGCTCCAGGCCACGGCCAGTCCCAGGTCAGACGGGGCGGGCAGGCGCTCGTGATTGGCTGTCTGCTGTGCACCGCCCCGTCTGAGGATTGGCTGTGCGGCTCAGATGACACGCCCGGTCCTATCGGAGCAGTCCGTGGGGCGGCCCCTTTGTTCTCCGGAGCCAATAGCCATGGTCTGACCTTGCCGGCGGACGAGCGTCTCTGAGCTGTGAACCTGTGTGCTGAGCGCTGGGAATGGGAACGATTTTTCTCCGGCTCCCTGTGCTGGGCGACATTACGTCGTTACTGCTCCCTATCCACCGGGTGCCTCGGATCCGCCCGCCTTTGCGAGTTCTGCCTCCCACATAAGCGCGTGTTGACGTCTGAATTTGTAACATAGGTGCGGAGTCCGGCAGTAGCTAGTATTTTTGAGGTGCCACTGGTATCCGTGCTGTGAAGTCATCGCGGACCACATAGAAACCACCACTCTTAGGAACCCTCTCGAGAGTATGTCCACTTTAATGTGGTCCTTTTTCTTTACTCCCTGAAAGCTATGTTCAGGTGGCACTGCACACAACCGCACATTTTACATTACAGGGCTCTTGTTCCTCGCCCTCAGCAGACCAGAGTCATGATAAATGATGTTTGGCGATGTCTGGAAGTGGCTTTGGAAATGGTTGCACTGGGGAGAGCTTGTTCTAGCTGAGGAAACAGGTCTGAAGATGTTACCTTACAGCAACTAGTTTCACTGCACATCAGGGTTCAGTGTGTGAACTATCTTCAAACTGCTAACCGGGTCCAGACTGCCACGGAAGGCCACTGTTTCCCAAACACCTCCAGGAAAGCATTTTCATCTCCACCCCCTTCCGTCCATCTGAAGGGAATTCCTCCTGCTCCTGCCTTGAGTTGGGTCCCAGCTGGGTAAATCCTCTCACTCCTGCCTCAGGAATCACAGTGGGGTCAACTGGAGAGAAGGTGCATCTTTGAAGGTGCATCTGGAACCAAGATGGATGGCTCCTGCAACCCCTACCATGGGACCAGTCCGCAGCTGATTCATCTGGGCTTGCTATAGGCCCAGCAGCTGTCCAGCTCTTAAGCATCATGGAAACTGAGGCGGACTTTCTACCATTATCCCACTAACTTCACATGCAGTCACCACAAAAGAGACTCCTGTTTCTGGACTTTGACCTATGCCTGTGAAATAGATGGATAATTTTCCACCTGCTTAGGTAACTTTCTGGATTTTCATCCCTACCTCTCAGAGCAGCATTCTGGTTCCCGATCTTGCACCAGCTAGTGTGGTCCTGGAACAGCAAGCAGTTCCACTCTAGAGCGACAGACTCTCCAGACTGGCATTCCAGGACCAAGGCTGTTTCGGGGGTGGAAAGATGGAAGCAGATCTGCGAGAATTTCCCACAGGCCAAAGCAAGGCAGCTGAAAATGCACAGACAGACGGCTGGGAGAAAACCCTGCAAACTTCAGGTATGGAGAGAGGGACCAGTAGAGAAGCTGCACATGGTGATGCTTGTTTGGAATCCTAGTTCTCGGGAGGGAAAGTTCAGAAGATCAGAAGTTGAAGGCCAGCCACCTACATGGGGAGTTCATGGCCAGCCTGGAGTTATGTCAGATTCTGTCTTAAAAAAAAAAAAATATGTTTTGATGCACACATGGGAGAGTCTGCATTATAAAATCATAAAATCTGTGTGGGGGGTGTGTGTGAAGGTCATTAGTTATCTTCCAGCACCTCCCATCTTTGTTAAGACAGGGTCTGTGATTAGCCTTGAACTTCATCAAGTTGTCTAGGCTGAGTTGAGCAGCAAGACAGCAGGATCTCACTACCTGTGGGATCACAACTGTGAGCCACCATACTCAGCTTTCCACATGGTCTCTGGGACACAAACTCCAATTCTCATGCTTACAAGGCATGTGTTCTACAAACTGAGCCATCTCCCCAATCTCAGTATGTTATAACCAAATAAGTAGTGTATTAAATTTATTTATTTATTTATCTATTTATTTATTGTTTCGTGTGTAGTGATAGTCAAGAATGAAAAGGGGAGTTGGGGAGATGACTGACCAGTTAAGAGCACTTTCTGCTCTTACAAAAGACTTGGGTTTGGTTCCTAGAATTCACATGGTGGCTCACATCCATCTATAATTCCAGGTCCAGGGGGTCTAATACCATCTTCTGGTTTAACCCCCATGAGTACCAGGTACACACATATACACAGGCATACATCAAAGCAAACACATACAGACACACATCTTAAAGAGAAAAGGGGGCAGGGGCAGACTGACTGGGGTCTCAAGTCAGCCTCTAGTAATCAGCATTAACGGGTCGTGTGCAAGAGTGTGCATGAATTTAAAGGGAGAAGTCAAGCACTCAGGGAAGCCTATCAGGTAGAACTTCTCAGCAAAGTTCATTCACAAAGAAAGAGTTCATTCTTATGCAGCACTCAGTGTAGGGACTGATGCAGAGATGACAGGCAAGAGGCCATTGGTGTCCAACAAGAACAGTACTCAGCTGTGTGTGAAGCTACCAATGATGGACCTGCAGCTGGCCAACCAGCGAGGCCCTACCAGGCAAATCAAACTAGCCCTTCTCCCCTCTGAGAACCTACTGACTCTGAGCTGACCCCAGAGAAGGCTGAGATCATGTCTGTGTGTATCTGTAATCAGGGTTGGGGGATGTAGGCTGAAAGCTATCTTTGCTGCTCAGAACATGTCTTTTCCCAGAGACCCCTTTTTTCATGACAATGACCCTGACAAAGCTGCAGATGTAACCAAAGCATGTAAAGATCGCCACCCTTCAAATGAGGCTCTCAGAGATGTGACATGAAGGCTGACGTTGGAAGAAAAACAATGACTGTCTTGGGTCCAATTTTAAGACTTTGATTCCAAAATAAGCATCCTGTTCTCCAGTGCTTTTTTGCCAGCCCTCTGAATCTGCTCACGCTCAAGTGTGGCTAGCTCTGCCTCCAGCGAGGACTGGAGGAGAGTATAGGGTACTCAGCTGCTGTCAAAGCCCCCAGCCTGACTTCAGGAAACAAGAGTGATGTGCCTTCCCATCACCATGAATCCCACAGAAAGGAACACGGACAGCTACTAGTTCTAAAACCAATTCTTTATTCTCTAGTTTGAAAAGGAGGGGAAATGGTTGTTCTGTTTCGATCCACAGAACAAAACAAGATCCAGTAGGCAGAAATTATAGGAAAACAGAAACCAATCATTATAAGTAAGGATTTTAACAGTTAGAATCACCCTACAGTAGACCCAGGTGCATGGTAGAGGCTGGCATCCACACCTGGAAATCTGCCCAGGACTTTCCCTGCAGCCAGTCTCCCAGCACCAGTGGACTATTCTTTCCATAACTCCTGATGCTCTAGAAAGAGTTGGGGAGAGTCAGGTAAGCCCTGTACCGGGGAGAGAGGGCAGATAAAGCCAGGCGGGTGCAGGAGTAAATAGATGTCCTGGAAGGACAACCTGCAAGAAGTAGATGGAATTTCTAACCGTGGGTGGGGCCTCTCCACATCTGGTACCTACGCAGGAGGCATTGTGGAAGGATACTGAGAGGGAGGGGGAGAGGGAGAGGGAGAGAAGGGGAGAGGGAGAGAGAGAGAAAGAGAAAAAGAGGGGGAGAGGGAGAGAGGAAGAAGAGGAAGGAAGGAAGGAAGGAAGGAGGGAGGGAGGGAGAGAGAGAGAGAGAGAAAGAAAGAAAGAAAGAAAGAGCAAGCTCAGCTTCACCTCTCCTGCTGTCTAACAAGGCCAGCAGGTTCACCAAGGTGTATCCAGCTGGCCCACTTTCCCTGCCCCAGGATTCATTTACTAATGACTATACCACACCGACTTCCAAAAAACTGACCTGAAGTAACTCATAGTAAAGACTGGGACTTTAAGGCGTTAACACCAGAGGATGGAGTGGCTCCCTTCCGCTGGTGGCTCCTCTAGCTGAGGACTCCAAGGGTAGATGGAGCTGCTATTGCTACTTTTCCAGGGTACAGGGTAGTCTGATTGACCCTTAGAAAAACCAGTTGGGGGCCGGCTAGCTCAAAGCCAGGTCCCTGCATACTAAAATGGATTCCCTGACCATTTAGGGAAACTCCCTTCCTAAACAGAGCCCACATCACTCTGCTTCTTCTATCCCTCTGGCATCCCCACCTGTCCCTCCAGTAGCGTCAATGTAGGCACCCCCACAGGGCCCACTGGCACACTGTTGCCAAGGACATCCAGGCCTGTTTCCCTCGGCCTATGGCCCCTTAGGCATCGTGCTTCTTCTGGTGCATCAGGAGTCGATCCTCATCGTCAAAGGTCTGCCCACAGATAGCACAGCAGAAGGCGCCATCCCGGATGTGGCTCTTTCGGTGTGTGATAAGGTTGGACTTCTGGCTGAAGCTGCGGTCACAGTCGGGGCAGGCGTAAGGCCGCTCACCAGTGTGGATACGCCGGTGCGACACCAGGTTGGACTTTTGACTGAAGGCTTTGCCACAATCTGGACACACGTAGGGCTTCTCGCCAGTGTGGATGCGCCGGTGTGCAGCCAGGTAGGGCTTGTGGCGGAAAGCCTTGCCACAGTCGGGACACACGAAGGGCCTCTCTGGCGCATGGTCGCGCCGATGGGCTGCCAGGTGGCTGCCCTGTGAGAAGCGGCGCCCACACTCCTCACAGGCAAAAGGCCGCTCACCCGAGTGCACGCGCGAGTGAGCCACCAGGTGCGTCTTCTTGCCGAAGTTCTTGCCGCACTCAGGGCAGGTGAAGGGCCGCTCTCCCGTGTGCTGTCGCTGGTGCAGCCTCAGGAAGCGCTCGAGGCGGAAGCTGCGGCCACAGTCGGCGCAGCTGTACAAGGGCACAGATGCCTCGGCCGGGGTCCGCGGAGACCCCAGAGCCCCCATTGCAGGTTGCACCATGGGCTCCGTTGAAATCTGAGGGCTTCCAATGCCGGGGGCAGCCTGCGCCGAGATCTCCAAACGCTTGTGGATTTTGCTGTGGGACAATAGGTTGGGTTTGTGGCGGAAACGGCGGCCACACTCGGTGCACGGATAAGGCTTCTCGCCAGTGTGTATGCGCCGGTGCGAAGTTAGGTAGGGTTTGTTGGTGAAGCGCTTCCCGCACTCCGGGCACTGGTGTGGTCGCTCGCCAGTGTGCACGCGGCGGTGGGCGATCAGGTTGGGCTTGTGGCGGAAGCGCTTGCCGCAGCAGGCACACTGGAAGGGGCGGTCCACGGCATCTCCACCGGGCCTGGGGGCAGTCACAGCAGGACGGCCCCTAGGCCGGGGACCCAGAGCCTTGACAGCTGCCTCCTCCAGGGCCTCGGCTACATGCACCCGCTTGTGAACAACCAACTGGTCCCACTGGGCAAAGCTCCAACCACAGTTGCCGCATATGAAGGGCCTGGCCTCAGGGGCAGGGGGATGGCACCTCCGCAGATGAGCTCGAAGCTGCTTTTGTCGCCAGAAACGTCTGTCGCATTCGGGACAAGTGATGGGCCGTTTTGCAGCTGAGTGAGCCCGCAGGTGCAGTACCAGGGCTACCCAGCCTCGGAAGCTATGCCCACAGAGGTGGCAAGTGAAACCCAGATCAGGGACGGCAGAGGCATGAACCTGAAGGTGCAGCGCTAAGAAGGGGGCGTGGCGAAAGCGCTGGTTGCACTCTTGGCAGGACAGCGGCAGCCGCGCCTGGCACCGCCGAGTGTGAAGCCACTGGGCTACCCAGCCTGGGAAGCTCCTCCGACAGTGGGCACAGCGATGGGCCTTGCCTGGGGCTTGGCCTCCTGGCTGAGCTACTGACTTGCCCTGGTGCCTCAACCCTCTGTTGGGCTGGGAGGACTCCTGGGAGGGCCCAGAAAGGAGCCTGGGCTGGGCTGGGCCCATGGCCATGGTGCCCCTGCAGCGCGGTTCCAACATCGGTTCTTCCTCTGCTGAGGGTGGAAAATCACAGTCACTGCAGGAACTAAGCCCAGTTTCTCCCTTCTAACCCCAAGGAAGAAGAAAGCTTCCCTCTAGGAACTGCTAGCACCATTCTAGTCTATATATTGGTCTTTGAGTTTCTAAATAACATTTCAAAGAATCTTCTTGTTTTCTATCGTTATTGCCCTGGAAACTTCCAGAGGGAGGCATGCTGACACTCCTGGGGTTCTCACATGGTACCTAGCCTAGTGTCAGGAAGGACTTACAGAAATATTCTTCATCTCCCTACTGTGCCTGGGCTATTGCGTGACAACCACTTCCTTCTGCCACATCAGAGCTCCCTGCTTGCCACATGAAGCAAGTGTGGCACTTCCAATGGTGGCAGTACTTGCCTGAGGTGACCCAGGCCGGGGGACAGGTCTTGTGAACCCTCAGGCCAGTGTGTTCCTCTTAACATGGAGGTGTGCAAACATCTCAAAAACCATCTGACTAAAGCCTTGAGGAAGGTACTTTCAGCTCCCCACCACACACACCTCAGCTTTGAGCCTGGAGGGCAAGTGGGAACAGCACTTCTTCAGAACAGGAAGAGAGCAAGGTGCCTCTCCTAGCACAGACTAATGCCAGGCCACCACCTGTCCAGACGGCCCACATTTGTCCTGTCAGCCCTTGTCACCCACACCTAAGCAATTGCGATTGGGACATTGGGGGAAGGAAAGTGCTTCTCAATCCAAGGAACACCCACAGTTTGCTGCGCAGGCAGTAGGGGGAATCCCTGGCTCAGCATCTCCTAGGGGTGCTAGGGATTGTTGGAGTAAGGAAAGAGGAGGGAAGACGAGATTGTGATCTCAGTCCCTTGCCTGGTCCTGCCCAAACCTGGCCAAGGGCTGCCCCATGTTCAGCTATACCACAAGAGGGGAGCCCAGATTCCTGAGAGCCTCCTACACAGAGTGAGTTCTGGAGTGGCAGTGAGACTCCCCAGGGACCTTCCATGTCTGCTCACAGGATCTGTCCAGGCACAACCTCCTGAATCTCTTCTGGGGGACTACCCACCCCCACTGGCTGAACCCAGGGACCCCATGATACAGAATGGATTCCTTGACCACTAAGCTCCTGCCCTGCCATCAAGGGAGACCTGGGCACTGGAGTTGGGGGTTGGTATGAGGACACACGAAAGGCCAAACTCTACCCTGGAAACTGCAGAGCTGGGGATGAGGCTTTTTCCAGCTCCTTCTGGGGATGTTTCTGGGGATACTTCTGCAGCGCCTACTTCGGCCCACACTCCGGTAGCCCCCGGATGTCAGAGAAAACTGGAGCAATAAAGACATCCCTATCCCCATGGCAGAGCTCAGACCTCTAACTGCAGAGAGGTCAGCCTTACCTGGGGAAGGGAGAGAAAACCTATGTGAGGCTCTGCGCTCTGCCAGGGGCGCTTTGTGTGGTCACCTAGTCCCTCCCCCATTCAAAGCCACAGGCTTCAGCCTTAAGCTCCACACCTCGGTCTGGCAGAATGCCCTAATGGACACGGGACTAAAGCATGGATATGGCCCTTCACTAGGAAGCACAGTGCTGCCTTTGGGGGCCACCTCATCGCCAAGTAGGGTCACAGAAGAATTCTTGATCTGTGGCAAAGATCTTCCTCGGTAGCCAAAGGCCGACCTAGGCAGGAACTCTGGAATCCCTGCCGGCTCCCCTTCCCCCGACTCTTCTCGCAACAGAAATTCCAGGCCTGTTTCCCCGAAGGTCTTCGCAGGGTGCGACAGTGTGCCCAGGACCCGGCCGGGATCCCCTTGGGGATCTAGGACAGCCTCGGGTGGCAGCAGGCCCACACCCCCCCTTTTGTATTGGTGCGTGTCCTCTGTCCTCGTTCGTTGGCACGCTGGACCGGCTGCTACGAGGGGAGCGAGCCATCTGGGGTCCCACGCACAGCGCAGCCCACGGAGCCTGTGCGCAGGTGCGCTAGCCCTGCGCCGCAGCACTCCGCCCCCCCCCCACACACACACCGCGCGCGCGCGAACCCCACAACCGCACACACTCACGGTCACGCGCCCCGCAGGTGGAGCTGCCCCCGCGCGCCCTCGGTGGCCCCCGCGCCCCTGCTCGGGCCATACCTTTCCCGTGTGCCCTGCGGGGACGCGGCGCCCATCCATGAAGCCCCAGGCCGGCCTCTGCGGCCCGCTCCCCACCCCGCCGTGGCGACAGCGGCAGGTTCGAGTTCACAACTGCCAGGCCCGTCCCCAACCTCCCCCCTCCGGGTTCCCAGCGCCACGTGACTACAGGAGCTGCGGAGGGTCAGTCTCGGCTAGGCGGCCGCGGCCTGGGGGCGGGGCGGGCCAGGTCACCCGCGCTTCTCTCTGGCTTGGGCGCACGGCCGGGGAGGGCCCCCGGCTCCGTTGCCATGGCAGCCACCAGCTCGAATTTTGGCACCGGCCGGTGCTCCAGTTTCTCAACACAGTGTCTCTGCAAAGGACGCTCGCCCCTGGCTGGGCCACCTCGTGGCCAGGCTGTGGTCACTGCATCTGACCCACCTGCACTGGCTTTTTAAAGACTCAGAGCCTGAGAGAACTGGTCCGGGCGCCGACGGTTCCCCTGGCGTCGAGCCCGGAGCTTTGCCCAGGCCGCTCCAGCTTGGGGCTGCTGCGGGGCACCGGCTCACCAGGGCCGCAGAGTGCACCCCGCACGCACCTGGACGGAGAATGAATGGCCCGCGACTGTGAACTCTACAAAGCCCTCTATTCCCACAACTAAGATCCGGAGTTGCCCGCGCTCTAGAGCTGCAGGAGAGGCCCAGGTGGCTGTTAGCACAAGTGGGTCATTTACACTTGGAAACTCACGGCAGCCAGTGTGGCGTCTGCGGGGGCAGGTGCAAGCCTGTGCTGATGACTCATCCACTAGCAGGTGGCCTTGGCTTTAAAGGAACCCCATCTTGGAGCTTCCAGACCAGTGCAATTTCGTGTCCTTTCATGCTTTCAACAGAAACAAGTTTTGAATTGTACAATTATTTTAAAAACACTTTAAAAATCTGTCTCACACGTAGGAATAGAGGGCCATCTAGCCCTCTCATGTCTTAGCCTCCTAGAGTCAGTTACATCCAATGTTGTGACATACTCTGATGTGCAGAGTAGCATTTTATGTTGGGGTTGCCTGAGGTAATCCCTTGCAACTGTATGTGCTGGCTCTGCCCGTAAGATATTGTCTTCTGCCATTTCATTGCTCTTTTATATATTCTTTCATATATTTTGATGGCTGCATAAATAGATTACAAAATTTGTATCCCTATAGATTATTGCTTCTTTGGACATCCTCCATATCAAACTTTTGGAGGTGGAAACAGATGGTCAAAGACAAGTTATATATTTTTAAATGATCATCCATGTTATCCCTGAGAAATAACCGTTTTCCCATTCCCTTGACACCATGAGCTATTTTCCCAATTTTAATTGCTTTGTTTTAGGTTTGTTTCTTGGATTGCTGGTTTGCTGAACTGTTTCAGGTGATTTTTTTTTACCAGTTTATTCTATGACTTTTGAGAATTTGTCCTTTGCCCAGTTTCAAGGTTGGGAAGTTGGTTTTGTTGTTTGGGGTTAAGCTGTCAGGTATGTGAAAAATGTTTTTCCCTGGACTGTTCTTGTTGGGGGGGTGGGGGTGTTGGCAAGGTCCCACTCTGTAGCCAAACTCAAACCTGATTACAGGCATACCCACCACACTCAGTAACTTTAATTTTTGAAGTGAGAAAATTTTGGTTTTATGTGCTAAAACCTGCCCATCCTTTCCTTTCTGGTGTTGCCTTTAGATTTGTGTTTAGAAAGTCACCTCCTCCATCCCTAGTCACTCTTTATGTTTATAGTTTCATTGCAGAAAGTGAGTTTTAGCACCTCAGTTTCCATAGTCCCTACAGCGATTCTGTCTTGTTTTAATTTGATTTGTAAAACTTATCTAGAATCAATCCTCTGTTTGTCCACATGAACTTTAGAACTTGTCAATATTTGAAGGCCTGTTTGTGTTGGGAGAGAACAGAGGTGTGTCACTCCATGGAATAGACACACTGTTTGGGTCATACCTTGCCTCTCACTGTGGAGTCGCTGCTATGTGGTCTACATGCAGACCCTGTGCTCTTCCTAAGTACAGCAGACATGGATGGAGCACCTCTGCACCTTGTGTCCAGCATGGTGGTAGAAGAATATGCAGCAAGACCTTCCAGTTCCACCTGCACGTTTTATAGAAATGCTTAAACCCTCAGGGTGACTTAATTTTGTGTTCAGTGTGATGATAAACCATTCTCACTGCTGGGCAGTGATGGCGCACACCTTTAATGCCAGCACTCTGGAGACAGAGGCAGGCAGCTCTCTGTGAGTTCGAAGCCAGCCTGATGCTACACAGTGAGCTCTAAGACAACCAGGAATACACAGAGAAACCCTGTCTCCCAAAACAAAACAAAAACCCTCTCATACACATCTCATTTCACCCCCTCAACAGCCCTTGGAAACAGACTCTCTGGCTCTTATTTTACAAATGACACAACTGGGCCTTGGAGATGGTAGAGGGCTAACTGGAGGGCCAGCCTGCTGCATGGCAGGTGATGGGAACAGGGGAAGCGCTACCCAGCTTCACCCTTAACCACTGCAGCTGGGGAGGGGGACATCAGGTGCTGGGCCCAGCAGAGTAAGTGTGAACTGTAAAATGCTGTGGCTAATAAGTGTGCAGCGCTGATGCCTCAGGGTCCCTGGAGTTGATTACAGCATTTTTGCAAGAGCTTCTCCAGCAGAATTTGTAACTCCAAGAGTCTCCTTCATGACATGTGTGATCAGTCGCTCTCCTTGGTTAAATAAGGTCCTAAACCAGTTCCCACCGTGGATCTCAACCCCTCTAAGGGTAACATATCAGCTATTCTGCATATCAGATATTTACATTATGAAGCATAACAATAGCAAGATTACAGTTATGAAGTGGCAATGAAATAATTTTATGGTGGGGGGGTCATAATGATATGAGGAACTGTACTGGAGGATCATAGCCCTAAACCATTCCCTTTCTCCCCATCCCTGAAGAAAATACCTTGTTCCCCACCACCACCCCCATTCAGTAGCTACTACCTGCATTTTTTTCTCAATAAGGAAACAGTGCCAGCCTTGATGCTGCGGGGGGGGGGGGGGCAGGAAATGGCAGGGACTTGGGCTAGGATTCTTTTTTTTTTTTTTTAGCTTGTAGGAACTTTATTTTCCTTCCACCTTTTTTCCCTTTGCTCAGGTGACTGCAGAGGAGCTCAGGACCACTCAGTGGTGGCTCCAACCCACTCGGTGGCCTGCGCTGTGGGAGCTGCTGACCAATCCTCAGTGGTTGGCTGGGCACTCCAGTCTTCAGTAGGGAACTGCTGGATGGGCACCGAGGGCACCTGCACCCCCTCAGACCAGTCAGCCACCTCTGGCTGAGCAGCAGTGAACTCAGGAGCTGGTGCAGTCCATTCGCCCTGAAACTCCTCCTTGGTCACGGCCTTCTCAGCAGCAGGCTATTCTTCCTTCTCAATCTCTTTTGGGTGTCTGTAGAAGTAAAGATCAGGCATAACCTCCCATGGGTGCTCACGGGAGATAGTGCCACGCATGCGGAGTACTTCACGGGCCAGCATCCACCACATCAGGCCCACTGAGTGAGCTCCCTTGTTGTTGCACGGGATGGCGATGTCCACATAGCGCAGAGGTGAGTCTGTGTTACACAGGGCAATGGTGGGCAGGTTCACGTAAGACGCCTCTGTGAGGGGCTGGTGGTCAGCCCTGGAATCGGTCACCACTAGAAGCCATGGCTCCCTGAAGGCTGCCTGGATCTGGTTAGTGAAGGTCCCTGGGGTGAAACGGCCAGCAATCGGAGTGGCTCCAGGGGCGGCAGCAAACTTCAGCACGGCTCGCTGCCCAGTGTTCCTGGAGGAGATGACGCTGACATCAGCGGGGTTCTCGATGGCAACAATAGCCCGAGCTGCAAGCAGCAGCTTCTCCCAGGTCCTCTTCAGATTGATGATGTAGATGCCATCGCTTTTCCTTTTGTAGATGTACTGCTCCATCTGGAAGTCGAGGTTGGTGCCACCTAAGTGGGTGCCTGCAGTGAAGAATTTGAGGACATCCTCCTCCTTCATCTGCAGGACATCAAGGGCTCAGGACATTGTGTAAGTTTCCCTTTAAGTTACGTCGGGAACCAAGAACAACGCCGCCGTAAGGACCCGTCCTGGGGCAGCGCGGAAAAGGCTTGGGCTAGGATTCTTGAGCTTTTGTACTAGTTAAGTACTCTGTACTCGAGCCTTTGAAATGCAAGCTTAGAGTTGGGGGCTTCACCCTGTACAGTGTCAGAGGTAGGGAGATACGGTCCAGCAACCAGCCAAATGGCCAAGTGATCTAAGCCTAGTGCAGACTGTTCCAACTTTTGACAGTTTTGCTGGAGCAGTATAGAGCCAGACCTGGCTAAGGGCCCACTGGACGGCCTTGGGAGATTTATTTTCTCTTCTTGAAAAGCCAGGTCTTTTGAGTTACATGGCTAACTGGGTAAGCAGCTGGGGGATGAAAACTGTCTCTGGAGACCCTGCCTATCTGAGGATACCCACATACCACTTTGCTAGGCAAGGAGCCCCAAGACTGCCCAGGCAGTACTAGTCAGTACATCCCACAAATATTGAATCAGTATAAAACACCTGTCATTGTGCAGGCAGGCACCAAGTTTCTTCATGACCCAGACAGAAGTAGTCCATGCTGGTTTTCCCGAATGAGAGAGGATAGCAAGTGTCTTTTAATTATAGTGTATCATTGGAAATACCTCTTAGGTTAGTTACCACAAAATTTTAAAATCCTTGTTAATGATTTCTGAATGGCTGGTTGTTGTAAAACTGGAAAAAAGGGATTGGGAGAGGAGAAGGGAGAATTCACCAGAGTAGATTTCCTGTAACTATTCCGTAGTAACTGCTGCCTCTGACTGAGCCTGAGGCAGATTACAGGACCCCCAGAGATGTTCCAGGAGAGAATGCAGAAGGCACATCCTGCACAGACCTGGATAAAGGACAAGCCCCTGGGTGTAACATCCTACACAACCCTGCCTCAGTGGCTCTCCCAGCTGGTGAACAAGAGGAAGCAGTGGGAGACACCCATTGAATAGGTCGCTTTTAATACAAAGGATTGCTGGGCTGAGGGCCACTAAGGAGTAGCTGCAGAAAGGCCCTCTGTTCTGCTCAGCCTCAAAGCAGGAGAAACATTTACAAGACAGAAGACTCCCACTACCAGGGAGAGCAAAGGCACTGAGGACAGCTTGAGGCCCCAGGAGCCTGGAGATGGTACCAAATTAAACCCTCAAGAAGCTTTACTAGCTGCCCTTTATGGCCTGCTAACACCCTTCACAAGTTGCCACCCCTAGAGGGTCTTTCACCTTTTGTGCTGAGGGTAGAGCTTGTGGTAGCATGAATGCTCAGGAAGTCCTGGGTTAGGTCTCCAACACAGTAGGAAACTAATGATAAAAAATTGAAATTCCCTGTTGTTTATTGCAGATACTGAATGGGCTGGAGTTGGAAGCTATCTTGTTGAGACTACCGTCCCTGAGGGTCTCCCACCAGTATGTGAGATGGGGTGTGTGTGCAATGCCATCTTTTCCTCTGGTTAATCCAGCTTTGGTTACAGACATCTGACCCAACTAAGAATCTGTTGAGGTTGAGGAAGGAACTCCTCCACAGAAGCCCCGACACAATGAAGCAAGTCTGGTGTGACTGAAGATGGCATACCC